GAGATCCATATGCAAAAATCGCCTTACCGAACGATCACTAAGGCGAAGTGCAGCAGCATGTTTCCGGGCAGATCGAGTCGGACTGCGAAGAAAGACCTCTCGAACGCGTTCAACATTTTCAGGAATTCGAACTGTTCGCGGCGCTCCTCTTGATCTTCTGTTGATTAGTTCATCATGCCTGCGAAGTGATTCAACCCAACGAAGGATGGTGTTTCGAGAGGGAACAGCTCTATTCCGATGAATGTTGAAGTGGCGACGAAACTCACGCTGTACGACGATGACTGACTCATTATTTCGGACGAAACAATCATAGGCGAAAACGCGGTGCTCCACCGCCCAAGGCTCCGTAACGACAACTGGAAAATAATGCTAGGACCTCACGAGTCAAACGGCACCCTCCCCACCTCTCTCGTAGACGGAGGCGGAGAGTACCACCCATCCCTAAAACGTCCGTCCTCAAAACGTCCGTCCTCTCTGCCGCACCCTGTACATACAGGGTTAGTTCAAACGGCATTTTATAGCAAAATGCACTAGTTTACCTTGCCGATATGAATCGCAAACCATTCCGAAGGAATTATGCGAAAAAGGATGGGTTACGTTTTTTCTTCTAAACAAATTCAAACATGTCGTATTTGTGAGTAGTTCGCAACAAAAGATGATAGACACATCCGCTTTGTTTTAAAATGTCTATAATAACGTATGTTTTTCGAATATCGTAGCGCATTTGTTCAATTACTCACAAATATGGAATATTTGAATTTGTTTAGAAGAAGAAACGTACCTTTGTTTTTCGCATAAAAATAGCATTTATCTTTCGGAATGGTTTGTGATTCATATCAGCAACATAAATACGTGTTTTGCTATCAAACGCTCTTTGAACGAACCGTGTATATTGCTCAATAAACTAGTAGTGATGGCCGGAATACAGGAGTTTTGGGATAAACAATTAAAAATTCTCAGAAAACTACTTGACCAATATAATCCAATTTTGTTGTTCTTATTTAGAAGTATGAATCATACGGATTTGGGTAATATCAAGTACACTTTCGAATGAATCCCAAAAACACGTTTTTTGTTGTCAAATAAAAAGCGTTCCCACAAAATTTGGTGTACCCATCTTATACGTCCATGTTTTGAATACCCCTTAAACAGCTTGCACCAATAAAACCAGATTTTACAATTATTTCGGGGAAATTCACTAACATGATTAGACTAATATAACAGGTACTTCCAATCGCATTAGATCCCGCACCTTCAGTACGGTTACTCGCAAGTTTATAATGGAAACCTGACTATATGGTAGTCTGATCGATTTTCGGAATTAAAACCCTAGTATTCCTTATGAGGCAACTCATATTTATTAGTTTCAAAAACTCCCCCAAATTTCACTTAAAAAAACTTTCGAAAATGGCGCTTGGCTTAGAATTTTCTTAAAGACATCCATTTTCAGGCAATCATGGTTTTGAATTGAATTGGGTATCTTCTGGTTAAATATCTTGATCAATAATCGTAACTACTGGACTAAGTAATATAATAATTGCATAATAATTGCGAACGTCCTGAAATTCGCGTCAGAATCTGAACGATTCTTTATGAACGTTTCAAAATATCATCGAATTTCACTTCCATTTTCTAATTCACGGCATCGTAGACTAGTAGTTGCAGAATACAGTACAAGGTCGTAACGAGGTTTTCTTCCACAAACAATAAAATTGATTTCACCGCAATAGTTGTCTAGTCGTTTGCACTTTTGTTTTAGAATGCATATCACGTATATACGAGCCTCTTCCCACTTCAGTTGGCCCACTTCAAGATTTGTACCAAAATATGCCTAAACATGACGAAACTATTTACTTCTAAAACAATTTATTTTCTCAAAAACATTTTAGATAGACTCTAGTCGTAAAAAATACATATTTGAAATCACTTAGACCTACAACTAATAGAAGATCTGAACAAATAAACAATGTGCGAATAAATGCGCGAAGTTCACAAAGCAACAATTGAAAGATTACCATTGGGTAACATCACCTTTATTTTTTATTACGGCGGAAATTCTTTGGGGCATAGTGTTAACCAAGTTTAGGCAAAAATTTGGTGTAAAACAATCCCATATTTCTTGAAGCTTTTGTCTCAGTTCGGTGATTGTACGAGCAGGATGTTGTCGTAGAACCTTTTTCATCTCGTGCCACAAAGTTTCAATAGGTGACAGATCTGGACTGCTAGAAACCCATTTCAAAAGGGGTACATTATTTTCTTCCATCCATTTTATAGCCTTTTTTGAGGTATGGCACGCTGCACCATCTTGCTGAAACACAAAATCTTGGCCGGATGTCAAACATTCTTCCATCACTGGTAAAAGCGATTCTTCTAAAATAGCCAAATATTTGTTTGTATCCACATTTCTATCAATAAAATGAAGTTTTCCTACTCCTTTTGATGACATACTGCCCCAGACCATAATGGATGCTGGAAATTTCACTTTTCTCTTCACACAGTCAACATGGATGCTTCATTTTTTTGCAAATAACTCTGCTGCGACTGTTGAGGTGTCCATTGTCTATGTTCTTTAGCCCATCTAAGCCGATTTTTCTTTTGCAGTGGAGTTAATAGTGGCTTTTCTTTGGCCTATAAAAAAGTTGTGCAACTTTAGGGTTTTTACTTCACTTTTTTTTATAAGAAACCTTACCTTGCAAGTGCTAAATCCCACTTTGTGGGCCTCTCTATAAGTTGTGGACCGCGAAATTCTCCTTCCAACAGCGTCACTCCGGAGAACACTTAATTGTAAATAATTGACACGCCTGTTTTTCACGATTATTCATCTTAATGCTCTTCGGTCGGCATTTGTGATATTACTTTTTTCACATATCGTGGCTTAATATTAACTGAAATAGTTACGTTATATCTTCTAACAATATTTCTCACACTGTACCGCGATAAGCCTAACAAAGTTGCAATTTTTGAGTTTGATTTCCCAGAATTAAAAAATTTAATTATCAGTAACCGAATTAATTTTCTCACTAATAACCTTTCCTCTACCCATTTTGAAAACCTTAACTACCCAAAACTATTTTAAACGTATTCTGACAGCTGTCATCAATAAAAACAATTGTCATCGCTTTTATTTTTTTACAGCCACATATGCGTTATAGACTTATAGAAAAATAGGTTGATATGCTTTAATTGCAACATGTGTTATTTTTATGCTGCAAATTTGATTAGGGAGTGATAAAGTTGGTGTTTTCTACTATATATTATCAAAATATTGATTGTTAATATTTCAAACCTATAACACCCTGCTACATTTTTATTATTTGTGTTTGATAAGAAAAAAACTAAGATTTCAATAGTTGGGCCAACTGAAGTGGGAAGAGGCTCGTATCTGCATATGTATAAAATACAACATTTCATTTAAAAAACGTTGGAAATCAGCATCAATTTCATTAGCCCGAATTTCAGCTTGTTAACTTACCTGTTCGAAAAAAAAGTAAAGCGGGAGCTTTTTGAAAAGCATTGTATGTCCGTTTTTTGCAACCATGGTTTTCAATTTAACTGGGTTAAATATGTTGATCAATAATCGTACCTGCTGGACTAAGATAATAATTGCATAATGATTGCGAACTTCCTGAATTTCGCGTCAGAACCTGAACGATTCTTTGTGGACGTTTCAAGATATCATCGAATTTCACTTATATTTTCTAATTCACGGCATCGTGATATCGAGTAGTAGTTGCAGAATACAGCACAAGGTCGTAACAATGTTTTCTTCCATAAACAATAAAATTGATTTCACCGCAATTGCTGTCTAGTGGTTTGCAATTTTGTTCTTGGATGCATATCACGTATATATCTGCATATGTATATATAATATATCAGTCGGATTATGGTAGTAGACTGCAATCAAACTTCATTTGAAGAACAGAACAGTGAGTATGTTTAGTTATTTATATAACACCTATTTCATGATATATAATTTTAACATTTAAACACGACTTTTTAACGAGTAAACTTGTTAAATTTAGCAAATTATTACCCCAGATTCCAACAGATATACGACATAAAATTGAGAATCCAAAACATCTGACTAAAGTTGTTTAAAAAATTTATTTCTGACATACATAGATCAGTTTTCGTCACAAAACCAACAAAACTTTGGACTATGGGTAATTGGGACGCTGATTTCGAGTAAAGCTAGCTAAAAACTTAACGTGTCGCAAACCCTTATTTTGAGTAGAAAAATATGAGGTTTGGGGTCTCCAGTCGATCTCAGCAAAAAAAATGACAACAGGTTCGTGATGTTTTCAACCAATTTACACAAGGATCGTGATAGGAAAATACGTGAGAATTTGTCTTTTCTTCCCGGTTCCTAGATGCAAAATGTCTATTTATGTAACCTGCAGCCGTGGGCGAACCAAACTCGGTACACTAAGACATAAGAAACGCTGATTTGGAATTATTTAGAGTGAATGAATAGAAGATTCCGAACATCCCGTCAATATCCGTGATGTATGAACCCGATTTACTCAAGAAGCAGGTTGCAAAATACGTCAGAATTTTTGAAACGTTTCAATAGCGTGCCTCTAAAGCTTGAAGTTTCTCGATGTAAAACTTCCAATAGTGCTGCTTCTATCCGTCCACATATGGCCAACCGTAATGTTAGATCTGTTTCACGCTTTTTGGGAATCATCAGAACAATCTAGTCTCCCAGGTAGAACAAGGAACTCCCGCAGTAGTCGAATCTGGTAATAGATGGCACTTTGTGTTGACTTATTTCGCAAATCTTCCAGATTCATAGCCTGTATAAATACAGGCGAATGAAACTTAGTACATTGGGCTAATTTGGGACACTGTTTTCAAATATAGACATTAAATATGCTAAAATATCGGGAAACCTTATTTAGAGTCAAAAGACCCCTGACAAGCATGAACTTTTATCAAAAAATTTGAAGAACCGAAAAGTTAGTTTAGTAGCTAAATAAAAAAGATAACTTTCTTTTCAGAACATCAAAAATGGGCGTTGCAGGACAAACTGAAGAATACATTTGCGCGCTAGACGACACAGAGAAGAAAAAGGCACTGGACGAACTGAGGGAAGATGAAAACAGCAGAGACCAATCGCTGCAACAAATGCGCGACTGGATTGCCAAACATCCTAACATCAAGAAGTGTAGGACAGGTAGGATTTTGTGATCTACAATTGTTTTAGAACCCTCCGCGAAAACTGTGGTAACATGTACGGGGCAAAATATTGACGGTAATAGTTTTTTTTTGCAAGATGCACATATCTTGTGGTATGTTCCATTTACCATGTAACTTCCGGTTTTTTATTCTTAGCACACGACGTATGTAAACTTCTTGACACAATAACAACCGGTCCGCAATTTCGCGTCGAACATTTTCAAACATAGTAACATCGATATTTCTACAAATATTTATTATTCTCAGCCGTATATCCAATATTGAAGCAGGTTCAGTTTTGTACACCTTTTGCTTCAAATAGCCCCATAAAAAAAGTCTAACGGTGTCAAATCTGACGAGCGAGCTGGCCATTCCACAGGACCTCGACGGCCAATCCAACGACCGGGGAAATTGTTATCTAAATAATGCCTAACTTGTCTGTAGTAGTGTGGTGGAGCACCATCTTGCTGGAATACAATATCAGTATCGAATTCATTAGGATTCGCTTCGAAGATTTCGGTGATTAGAGGGTCAATACTATTTTCCAGCATATCCAAATACAATTCCCGTTAAAGTTTGTCGATGATATGATATGATTTCCAAATATCCCAGCCCAAACGTTAATTTTTTGTGGATATTGAGTATGAGTTTCCCGGAAGACGTGAGGATTGGTGTCACTCCAATAACGACAATTTTGTCTATGCACATTACCAGTGAGAAAAAATGTACATTCATCACTAAAATAAATATTTTTGATACAGGTAGGATGCCGTGCAATGGTTTCCGTCGTAGTCTCGCAGAATTCTGTTCTTCGAATAGGGTCATCTTCAGTTACGTGATGTACCATTTGAATTTTGTATGGGTGATACTTATTCTTTTTCAAAAGTCTCCATACAGTAGAAGGTCACATCTCACATACATTCGCGATGGAGGAAGTAGACTGTTGGGGATTTACTATGATCTCACCAATTATTTGGTCTTGCTTTTCTTCCGGGGTGGTCGGAGGACCTGGGGACTTTTTGTTGTTTACACTACCGGTAGCTGTAAATTTAGATACAAGTTCCCTTAAATATTTTCTACAGATAGGACGATTCGGGAAACGATCATTAAAAATCCTTTCGGTCTCGTGAAAGTTACGCGTCGCACCATAAATAATAATCGCTTCGATTTTTTCTTCCAATGGACGAGAATTGACCATTTTAAAAATAGTTCAAACAGTATCTAGCACTAAAACCGAAAACTAAATAAGAACATTTTAACTGTACAATGATTTTTGTTTCCGTGCTGATATTTTTGTCACTGTCAAAAAAAAATAACAAAACAAGTTTTTATCACTGTTGCTGTGGATACGGCAGGGAATTACAATTATTTGTAGAGGTATGCATGTTCGTGGGTTTGTGTTCAAGTAATTATTAAATGTACCACCATTTTGTAGTAGGTAAAGGTATTGACTTTATATTCTAGGGTTATAAAGTACTCGTCAGGAGCTTCAAAATTATGTGCTACAAGATCCCCGTTTTCATATCATTTTTTTTCCAAGATGGCGCCCAGCAGCCATCTTGACGTTGTCATCTGTAAATTTTTCTCTAAAATATGGTATCCACGCATCAGTTTCATTACCACAAGTTTTAATTTTTAAATTGATCCGTTCAAAAAATCAAAGGGGAGAAGGACATTAAACAAAAGCCCTGTATATGGACGCTCACCAAGCCACCATATATAGACAGAATTACTTTGGTTCATTTTGCAAACTATCATGTCGATTTGTGGCCTTGGCCTTAGCCATTGAACACGTCTGGGACGTTGCTCCGTTTACTTCAATCTCGATACGAAGTACAAGGAGCCTGGGATGAGGTACCTCAAGAGGAAATCGATCATCTGATTAGGAATAAGCCCATACGTATTTCTGAGTGCATGAGACATCATGAAGGTGCAACAAATTATTAATTATTTACATTTTTTCATTACTTTTACTATTCTGAAATGTATACAAAAAAAATATCGAGAATGAGATATTTCAATTTTTTTATGTTATATTTATACGCCTCCAACACCAGTAATTCTACGCACCTATTAGAAATATTCCACTGATCATAGATGATACATACAAAACAATACTCCTATATTAAAGTAACGTTCATCATAAATTCCGAACATATACAGAGAAAACCATTTGTCTGGCGGCTTGAGTTCAATGTGTACGAGAAAGAAGCGCGAGAGGTGTGTATCAACACATGCTAGAAAGAGATAAACGCCGGCTGAAGAGCGAACGTCATCACCACATTGCCCAGCTCCGGTGAAGCAGGTTGTTCAATCTGCTGCGTTGCCAATGTTACACCAGAGAATGTTCGCACACAATAGGTTAGGTTACTGTCAAACCCAAGGAGGTCCGATCGAATATTTAATATTTTGTTTTCATTTTGATTAGAATTATTAATTTTTGACGCAACTTACAGTGTTTCAATTTATTTTAGAATTAACTCTGATTTTCACCGATTATGATGAAATCGACACATCCTGACAGCGAGCGGTCGGAAAATGTAACAAATACCATCACGCAATACAATTTATCACTGCCTGTGGTGTTATCAAGCGAACCAATAATGAAATGTTGCAGAATTTGTGACGATCCTGACCAAAAATGAAGCGCTGTTAGGACCGATCCGGCATCGATCCTAAGCCGAGTCGACTCAACCCACAACTCAAAAATATGTACGCTCAAAATAAAACCATTATTTGGGCGTAGAGAATAAACTAACGCATATTTTCAACATACATCTTAATTCAAGGAATTGGTGTAACATATTGGCAACGCGGCAGATTGCCGCGTCAGCGTTGCTGGGCAAAGCAGTGGCGAGCTTCGCTATCCAGCTGGCTTCTATCTCTTTCTAACATATGTGTCTATACACACTTCTCTCTCGTACACATTGAACTCAAGCCGTCAGACAAATTTGGTTTTGAATGTATATAACCATATAGTACAATACTATGCAGAAAGGTCCTAAATACTTATTTTTTGAACAGGTCAAGTTAGCAAGCTGAAATTCGGAGCGATGAAATTGAAGCATGAATACTGAAACATAAAAATAAGATGAAAATATTCGATGGTGGAAGAAGAAGAAGTTTAAAGTACTATACATACATACCTACATACTGTAGCGCTTCGATGATTGATTGCTGAGTTATAACTAACTCAATGTACAAAAATACTCAACTTTGACAGACTGCCAGTCCACTATTTTTGAAAATTAATGATTTTATATTCTATGGTTACAAAGTATATATAAGCGGCTTCAAAATGGCTATGGCATGCCCCCTGTTTGATTTAAAAAATGTTCCAAGATAGTTACCAGCCGCCCTCTTGAAATTTTCATCTGCAACTTTTATGTCGAAATAGTATTCATGCATCAATTTCATCGCTCCGAATTTCAGCTACCTAACTTCACCTAACCAAAAAATAAGAGGGGGCCTGCTTTGCTGTTCTACTTCTTATACCAACGAAAACTCGGTACATACCTATGGAGAAAGTGCGTTACGAAATCTTGCGCCTAAAGTATAGAATGTTGGGGTTACTCATAATCACGAATGCCTCTATACACATAACAAATAGTTCCCAAAAAGAATTGTAATATCTTGGTAGCACATCCTGCCACTATAATTACATATCTTTCCACTTTAAACGAACATCTGGTCTGCCTTTAGTTCAAATTTGCTGGAAATGAGTTCACATCGTTTCTCGCTTTCAGTTGCTCCACTTAGTTACCCATTCGTGAGAAAATAATTGAAGATCCCATTATATCTAAATTAATAAATTATGTTTTTGAATCAACAGTTAAAATGTTAATCGTGCCTGAAGCACATATAATTATGTATAATATAAGCAATACATCTTACATCCTACGTTAACAACAGATGAGATCTTAACAAACATTTCAATATTGAGATAGTACATTGACACCCAGTGGCGGATTTAGGGGGGGGCGCGCCTATAAGTTATAGCTATAGGAACTGAGCATTGCGATTTTTTTGTATCCTTTGGTATTCCAAATGCTGTCCCTTTTTGACATCACTTACGTTTACAGCACAATTCTTAGGATTTATACGTATATACGAGTATTGTGACTTGTGAAAAATCTAAGTCTGAGTAATATATTAGCTATACAGATTGCACATTTATGTTCTGTTTGTTGCTCAATAGTAATGTGAAAAATGTGTAAAGCTTGACTGATTTTGTTCGAGGTTGGTGTCGCAGCAAAGCACTATGTTAGATGAATGCCTAAATTGGAAATAGACATTTGTGAGATTTGTTTAGCGGTGCACCTGTGGCCTACCCAGAAAATGCGTCCAACGATGCTCAAAGTCAGTACCACACCAATCAGAGCTTCTGCACCTCACGTGAATATCTACAGCCCTGTATTCCAGTTCTTGTTGCGTACAAACGTACATTATCAAAATAATAATAATAATTACGATTTAACAGATATAGTTTTTTCCAAAGATTTCCTACATTTTTACATGCGATCAACACCGATTCGAAAACTGAGAAAACAACAACTATGCCGTAAGTCTAAGTTTGACAACGAAAGTCTGATGAGTCTGAATCCTTAACCTTAGTACACACTAGTAGACCCCGATGCGCAACTTGTCTATAGGAAGTCTAGAGACGGTCTCAACACACGATCTATACAGATGGTCTATAGACATCCTTCTTTGTCTCATCTAGCATCCATACGACAATGTGAATTTTTCAGTCTCTTGTTCGTTTTCGCCATCAAAGACATTGTTTTGTGTGGAATGGACTGGGATATGTCTCGGGGACCCTCAGAATGTTTTTTTTTTTCGGTTAACAGAGCAATGAAGTTTTTTATGCTTTAACCCTAGTTAATTATAAATGCCATTTACTTGTTTTGTTCTCAGATAATAAAATATTGCCTTTCTGAGGATTTTCCATGTTTGTTTTCAAGCTGGCATTGACCAGATAGAGCACAATGGATTTAAGGAGCAATAATATGATAAATTCTCGAAGTTCCTCTGAGGTTGAAAAAATACCAGCCCCAAAGTTTGCGCCTCTCCCCCTAGATGAAATCCTAAATCCGCCCTTTTTGACCTAAAGTGAAGAAGAAGCTGTAGAGATAAATAAAAATAAAATATTACTTTTCAATCGGATGCAAGTAATGTACGCCAGTACTACTGATTAACGTATAGAAGAAGATAGCTCATTTATCGATGTCAAACAATTTATCCTTTAGCTTAAGTTAAAGCGATACTAATTTGGGGCAAGCCCATCCCTGGCTATCTAAATCAGTCATTGTTTTATATGGACCCAATCATTGACTGACAAGCTTTATTAACTTATAAAGCCTCGTTTAGAGGTTATTCAAGAAGAGCCGATTTTTAGTGGCCTCTTGTTTGAAATAATTCAGACTATTTTAAAGCTTGTCATTTAAATAAATTGTGTTCATGCTTTATTATTGAAATAGCTTGAAATTCTGTAACCTTTTCTAATTCGTATCTTAGACTGAATGACAAGTTCATTCTCCATCTGTGGGCGGTAAATTATATAGGCGGAGCACCCTCGCGGGACATATTAGACAAGTAAAAAGTAAGGCTGCAACTGAAGCGTCATACCGGGTGTCCCAGATAATTATACAAAAGAAGGAACCTTATGAAGACGGGGAAATGATAAAACAGGCGTTTTTAGAAGCTGCAGATTAATTATTTGCCAACTTTAGAAATAAAGACGACATAGTGACTGCTATAAAATCTATGCAACTTTCTGCTAATACAGTGATGAGACGAGTAGACGTAATGAGCAATGATATAGTTTTACAGTTGAGAAATGACTTTGATAGCTGTGCTCATTTTTCACTGCAGCTGGATGAGTTCTCAGATGTCGTTGACACCTCTCAGATGGCCGTGTTCGTCAGGATGATTTTTAGTGATTGTACGATTAAAGATATTTTGAAGTTTATTCCACTAAAAGGACAGGCTACTGGACAGGACTTATATTGCTTACGACTAGGTAGCTCACTGTTTATCCCAGAATTATTAAAGTAGCTCAACACACTGAAAAGGTTGGCGATGACTGACATAAGTATTTGAGTAAAGTAGAGCTAACTAATTGCATTTTAGTATCCAGACTTAATCATAGCAATAGGTATTTTCTACAAAACTTTATGTATCTAATGTGGAAAACTGTTCAAGCTTCAAGCCTCCCGGTTTTCTCGAAGCATGCATGATTGAAAAAATACACGGAATTCCTAGACTAATGGAAAATAAGCCAGTGCCAATTTTTATATTTGTAACCGGATGTCATTTCGTACATTTACTTTTTTGCAGTATTAAACCGAATTGATTTGAGTGTTTTTAAATTTTCAGATGCCCCATTTTTGCTAAGATTTCTTCGAACAAAAAAGTTCAGCGTCCCTCAAGCATGTGAAATGTTGGAACGATACCTGACCATCAGACAACTCTATCCCCACTGGTTCCAAAAGCTGGACTGTGAAGATAAAGAATTAGCAGAAATTATTGACGCTGGGTACTTGGTTCCCCTTTTAGAAAGAGATAACGGAAGGTAAGTATATTATATTTCAAGTTCATGCCTTTTCACTTCTCACTACACGAGGGGGGGGGGTTCTCCCGCACAAAGTTCTGAATCTGACATTACACATTCAATCGATTTTGTAAGTAAATTGCTAATTTTGAGGAAAATGGGGGTAAGCAAAACCAACAGAACTGGGGAAGTCATACTCCTTCTTGATACCCCAGAAATTACGGAGCGATCGTACTCGTATGTTCCAGTTCACAAAATTATTTCTTCAGAGATAAAATGAAAAACTCAAAGTCTCCAGAGGAACAAATGAACAAATGAAATATAGATATAAAATACCACATCCTTTTAATGAAGATTAATTAAAATTTACTCCTGGAATACCTGTTGAAGAAATGTTTTCCATCGATTGAATCCCGAGACATTCGACTATTTTTGAGCCCAGTAACCAAGAAAATACATCTTTTTTTATACCGAAGCAGCCTCATGGGCAGAAGCCTAAATACCAGGCGGGCGGCCGCTGCTATGAGGAGTTTAAAGGAACTTTGTCAATCCGATTTTTGTATTGCCTAAGGCTAGTAGAAAGGTAAATGGTTCCACTGTCTTGATATCCTATGGACAAAGGAGCTAGTCGTATCGGCCAGTTGTTAATGTACGAAATTCGACATGGTGCGAGGCCGAAGTCAGGCGGGTCTGTCTGGCCAGCACATCGCGCGGCGTTATCATGTACTGAAGAGCAAAGCCCGTTGACATAGCGGTAGAAGACACTGTTCGTTAGAGAAGAGTAATCAATCACTCGGACAGCCTTCCTCTGAACAGCATCGAGCATCGATCATGTAATCGAGGCGGCAGCATCCCAAACTTGAGAGCAGTACTCGAAGCAAGGCCTTATCAGACTTTATACAAAGTGAGAACGTTATGTGGAGAAAAGTGCTTCTTTGTTTACAAATAACCTATCTTTTTCCCAGCAGCTGCCGCTACTGACGAACTGTGTTCGGGCCAGATTAAGTCCTCGGTGATCTGGACTCCGACCAACAGAAATGAAAGTCTTTTTAGTAGAAGTGCCATCCATCGAAACCGGATGAGTGCTAGGGCGCTTCTTGTTAGTCAAGGTACGGTTCTGTGTTTTGGGAGCAATATACTCTACCAGTTCGTTGCGTCACCAAGCAGCGATAACTTCCCGGTCACTCGTCAGTGAGGAAGTTGCTGCTAGTCTTCTTTTCTTCAGTTGACCGGCAGAAATCGGCTTGTCACTCTGAATTTCTGCATGTATAGTGCCATCATCAGCAAAGCTGTGGATCTGATTGATCGTATAGGAAATGAGGCCGTAAGAGGAACAATGTCGGAGCCCAGACCGATCCCTGGGAAACACCCGCGTTGACATTGTGGGATGAAGAGGACAATCCATCAATAACAACGGATATTTTGCTGCCAGTGAGGAAGTCAGCCACCCATATGCATATGTGCCTTGATTTTCTGCCGATGAGCAGTGTCGCACGATTTGTTGAACCAGACCTTGGTTTAGGCACTTTCACTATATGTGAGATGTACTCCTCCATTCCAACGTGGATAATTTCTGTTATTGACGAACAGACAGCCGACATATCCGCATCAATGTTGCTGTCAATCCCGTAGATGTTCGATGTTGTTCCCTCGAAGTCTTTTTTTTTTAAAACAATTTGTTTATATTCCAGATTGGTGCTCTTCAGTTGTGCAGGAAAATTCGACCCCCACAAATACACGGCAGCACATATGATAAGAGTCCACAGTTTAGTAACAGAAGCGTTGATGGATGATGAATTGAACCAAATCAACGGATATACTTACATCAACGACGAGAGCGGGTTCCAGATGGCACACATTTCTTTGTGGTCCTTGACGGACGTTAAGAATATTCTTAGATGCATCCAGGTAATTCACGCATTACAACAGCCGAATTATTCGTTTTTCGATACAGAAGTTTTAGCTTTGACTTCATGTCCATTCTTGAAATACAGTTTTACCGATAAGTCTCTTTTGCTCAAAAACTGCTTAATTTATCAATATCGAACTAAAATATTTTCAGCTAGGATTTTTTTTTGATTATTTTGGTGCACGTTAAGATATATAAAAAAACAGGTTTAAATAAACATAGGTCGAGAAAAACGACATTCCCATAAATTTAAACCCGTCCATCTTTGATAGTTCACCTTAGGAGTATATTTTCCGAAAACAGATGGATATCTAGTTATAAGTTTTGATACAGGTAAACTTATTATAACCCAAGTACATTTTTCAAGCAAAGCGATATGGCTTTTAGAAAACACCGACGTAAAAACCAGTGGCTTTCATCTAAACGTAAAGTTTAAACAGCCCGTAATATATCTAACTTGTTTTCATTTCAAAGATGCTGATGGAGAACATAATTTTTATGTATTTAACAAGCTTTCAACTTGAATTGTTTGCTAGTATGTTAACATGTGTATGTGTGGGACAAATCTTGGAAGTGAATTTTGATTCAGTTAACCTTAAGCAATCGAGCGTGACAATACAAAATGAGTTTACCGCTGCCATTTTGGCGATTCGCAATTTCCATTATATTATTGGTGTCAAATGAAAAGGCAGGTGAGAGAAACATAATGAGCAAAGTGACGTAATTCCAAATCCAATATGGTGTTTGCCGTGAAATGGCGATTTACATATTCCATCGTCACCTTTACGACATGGGTATCAAAAGAAGAGGCTTGATGAGAGAACTAATAAGCTCAGTGACGTCATTCTAAATCCAATATGGTGGCCGCCGCTGAATGGCGATTTATAATTCCCGTGGTCTCCGCTATGATATGGGTATCAAACACGTCATTTTAAATTCCAAATGGCGATAGCCGCAAAATATAGATTCATCAATATATTATGTATATAATATGGAAATTTTATAATACAAATAAAGTAAGAAGTTTTATGAAGTCTTATTAATAAAACATAAGAGTAGCAAGTACCAAACTAGGTATTTTAGATCATAAATACTAAAAAGGTGAAAAATAAAGTTAAAACATACATTTTTAAAAACATGCTTTTATTTAGCTGTTCATAAAATGGACTAAAAATTTAAGAATATTTTTTCCGATTGGAAATATTTAAACGATAATGGAGCTCCTCCGTCTCAAGCTTTTAAAAGCGTGTTACGTCTTGACAGGAGAATGGAAAAAGGGTGTAACACCCTTTTATTTGAAAACTTCATTATTGTTGGATTATTCAATCGGAAAAATTATTTCTAAATTTGTAGTTTAATTTATGAACAGCTAAATAAAAGCTTCTTTTTAAACATTTTTTTTTTCATTTTATTTATTCAATTCCATCATGTTTTCAACGGATTTTTTTGTTACAGAATACCACACCAATGCGACACAAAGCTAATCATTTCCTGAACATATCTCCTAGTGCAATTAAACTAATAGATTTCGCCGTATCACTCTTGAACGAGAAACTGAAGAATCGAATATTTGTAAGTATTCCATTCTACTTTATATATCACATGTTCATAAATTGTTAAATGGCTATCCACAAGAAGGAAATTTCTCACCACTGGATTTGCCTCAATAACCATGCGGTCATGAAGATTACGTGGTGACAAGAAAACCATACAAGGCAGTCACACCGATAGACAGACCGACGAAACCGTGTGGGAATATCTTCCTAGAATTCGGTGATAAAGCTCCTTGCTTTAAGACAGTGCTGCTCTAGTACTTACATTCCGAATTATTTGTAGTTCTTATCTTTTTAGGTTATCATTACATATACTTTATAGAAAGGTACGCACCACGTCATTTACGCAGTCTACAGTTTTATCTCTAACTACTACACCGATTCATAATTATTCTAAAAAAAAACTAACAATGTGCACTATGTTGCCCGTGTACCATACCTACGTCATATTTTCATTATTAAGCTAGTTGCCTTTCCATGTTATGTGTTTGTATTAACTAAATAATAATTGGTAATTTTTCCTGATAAATTTAAACTGTGTGTTCGATATGTACAATAAATAACAAAGTTTCACAAAGATAATACAAAGATAGTGCGTTTCTCTCTTTATTAAAAAACATTGTCAACCTAAAATAATGCCAGTGCATAAGATAATAATATATTTCTACCACACTCTTTTTGCATAGGCAGGGTTCCACGTATTGAGAGTTATACTTTAGATCTGGTGAGATTGCGTGATAGCTCATGACAGCACGTGATCTGACAATGTGTTCTCGTCGTGGCTTCCTAATAGATAGATTAACAACTTTTTATTTTACAGATGTACAAATCCGCTGAAGAACTGTATCCGAAACTAGACAAGAAAATACTTCCAAAAGAATATGGAGGCGAAGTTCCATTGAAAGAGATGCTGGACAAGTTCAAGGCACTATTGAAAGAGAAGAGAGAAAAAGTCCTAGCCTTGGATGATATGTATATAGAAATTGATGAGAAAAGTTGTCCTTTGGTGTCTGAAATGAACGAAGAACTTGGTCTTGGGATAGATGGTTCTTTCAAGAAATTAACTGTTGATTAGTATGCCTAGTAACTGTATAAGATGTCTCGAAAAAGTATCCATACTTCCAGTAAGGTCTGACAATATGTCTTAAGTAGTCAAGGTATTAATAACTGAGGTCTCCTAGATAAAACCTGAGCATTTCACCGTGTCGGCGTCATTAAAGAATCAGTTCCTTCTTAATATCTGCAGAAACTGTAACGTCATCATTGTCAATGTATTCTCTAACAAAGATAAACATCCAGCTAAATAAGCTTATAAAGTATCAGTACCATAAAAAGGGTATACTTTTTTAGAGACAGTATGTATTATCTAGTTATGTGATTTTTTTAAGGATATCTCAATGTGATAAAGGAATGAATTGTTTGTACAGCTAGGACTCCCATATCTGGAATATTAAATTTAGATAATTATTATACTGAATGGTATAACAATGTCGTGTAAGCTATATTATAGGTTCTATAAGTTTACGTTACTAGATTAGTCGTGAAATAATTGTTATTTAATTTATATAGTTTTATATAATGAGATTTTGGCAACAGTTTAGCAACAACATTTTTCATAATTTATTGAAAACAGAATAGACACCAAAGACTTTTCTCAGAAGAGAATATTAAATTTTGAATACTGGTTTGGTTCTTTGTTAAAATGTTTGTTATGTGTTGAAGCAAATGTTCAGTTCCACATTAGTATATTAAATAATTCAAATTTCAGTAACAAATTTCCACAGTTTAGCTCTTTAGCTATCGAAGATAAAAATATATCTATATCCAAACTATTGTTGTTATATTGTAATCAAATATTTTTTATATATTAGAATGAATTTCAGCGATATGAATGATTTGGGATAATCTAAAAATATATAATTTTTTAATAAATGTAACTAGTTCTTAAGATCTACTTAAAGAAGTCCGAGGTGGAACCAAGTTACCAATGTCCATTTTTGTAATGTAACTTAATTTTACTTTTATACTTATCTTTAAATGTAGACTAAAATTTTATTGTTAATCATCTTGCTTTTGTTATACATTATTATTCTGGATGCTCAAACACAAGAGTACTATTATAGGCATAAAAAACTGTTGTACACTTATTACTATGGTTGAATAAAGAATTTTGTTGTTACTTGACCATATTCATTCGAGATCACACATGATTCATGCTAACCCAATCAGCATCCAATATACGAGGTTTGGCAGGAAAATACGTATAAAAAATTCGAGGCGCCGTGTCAAGGCGTTGTGGAGGGGTGACCCGATGGTTCCCTCTCCCTGTGCAATAGTGCAATCCCCTCTATGCTCAGTTCGAGCCGGAGCGCTCTGCGAGTAAGTAGGATTTACATGTGCTTGTTGGGAGTAAGCCTTTTTTTACCTGCCGTCGGAATGGAGCTCTCTCTGATCGAGGAACTGCGCATCAACATCAAGTTTCCTGCAAAGCTAGGCAAGAATGGTCGTGAGGTTTTCGACTGTTTGGAACAAGTTTACGGATACAATTCTCTGAAGGAACCAACCGTTAACAAGTGGCTGAAAAGGTTTCGGGAAGGCCGAGAAGATGTGAAAGATGATCAATGTTCAGGACGCCCCTCCACATCGAGCTCTGAGGGAAATGTTGAACGAATTCGGAGCTGTGTTCTTAAAAACCGTGGATTGACAGTTAGAATGATAGCTGAGGAACTGCCAATCCCCAAAACAATCGTCCACGAAATTTTGACAGAAGAAATGATGACTCAGAGCTTGTGTGACCCGAGTTCGACCGGATTTGGTACAAGGGGGCAAGTGGATCCTTCATCACGACAACGCGCCTGCTCACACGTCTCTCATTGAGCGTAACTTTTTGGCCCAAAGTTCAATCACCGTGATAGAACACCCGCCTTATTCACCAGATTTAGCACCTTGCAACTTCTTCCTGTTCCCAAAATGCAAAATAATGCTTCGGGGGCGACACTTGAGGGATGTGGAAGCCATCAAGGCAGAAACGACACGGCAAATGAAGAGCCTCATCATTGAAGATTTTCAGCGATCGTATCAACAGTGGAAACGGCGTTGGCAGAAGAGCATCTTGTCTCAGGAGGAGTACTTTGAACGAGACCATATTGAAATACATGAACAATTGTAAAACATAAATGTATGATTCCAGTTTTATACGTATTTTCCGGACATACCTCGTACTGGATTTGTGAAGACAAAAATGGATAAATAGTGAACAGATGAAACTAGAAAGAATCAATAGAAAAGCCTTTCATTATAGCTATCATATAGGACAGTCCTGTGTTTTTTGAATATGTCTCAACGTCTCACAATTTTTGATTTAGTTGTTCCATATTTTGGAAACATCTAAGAAATTGATAAATACTCATCAAATATTTTGATGTATACTCAAGGAAGCCATAGGTCAACAGTTACGATCACATTCCTTCCATAGTTATTATAGGTTGATAAATTGAGGTACAATTACTCATAAATTTAATAGTATGAAGATTGCATTTGACAGAAATGGTTGCTACCTAAATGAGTTACAATTTCTTGACATAACACACTCATTGCATGCAAAGGACTAAGAAATTAAATTTTGCTATTAAGAATCCATAGAAACTAAATGAAAATCAGTGTCTCTATGTTGCAGATGACAGGAAGGTCCTGGTTATTTTTTTTTCTTGAAATATATGTATTTAAAATTTCTAAAAACACATATTTTGTGATACTTATGTAACCTAGAATTGAATTAGTAAGATTTGAATAATTAATCAAAATCGTATGACTCAAATTTTAAATATTATTGTATCCCGCCAACACACGTTTGTGAAGGGAAAGTCCACTGTTAGCAACCTTTCGAGGTTGAGCAGTGCCTGTTGGAGGAATCATATTGAAATATGTAAGCAACAAGGCAATGCAGCTACTTGTTTTTATCTAATCATTAAAGGATTTTGATTACATTTTTTCTTTTAATATATGCATCAGTAACATCAGTCCTATAATAGCTATGCTGCACATGGTCCTCTATACAGGATTTGTAGACTAGCAAGCAATCTGCCACTGTCCAAAGACATATTTAATTTAGATTTGAAGGCTTTTGAGACAAAAGTGGGGAAACTTTAGTCAAGAAATGTTCATTATATGTTTGTAAAATGGTTTATCTTTTTTTTTTTAATACTCCAACTACCACGAAGGCCTAAGGCCTAAACACCCATTGGGTACCTTAGGGCTATAGGGGGATACAGGGGAAAGGGGGAACGCCACACGGACTCTGGCGAGGGAACACGTGTGCATGCAACATGCACACATTCTGGCTCTGCCTACAAGATCCGCCGGGTGGTACCTCCGCGTTCGACAGTCAGAGACCATCTACCACCTACGGACAATCACAACATCCATAGCCAAGAGAAAAGTTTCTCCTGGGACGGGATTCGAACTCGCACAGCGCACGGCGACTGATCAGGAGACAGAATAGTCTACTACTGCAGCCACCCCTGCTGCTCTGTAAATATATTACTATTATTATTATTAGAATGCAACTTTTAAGGCAACACCCCAGCACCAAGTTTGACATTCATTTGTTAAGCATAAATAGTAAAAAATCTACATTTTGAATATGAAATATTATTTTTTCTACTTAAAAATTGTCATTATTTACTGCATTCCTCTAAGGAAACAACACATTTCTCCTCCTAGGTAAATAATGAAAGTGTGCATCCTGGTAAAGCTTCTTCGGCTTCCTAAGCGCCAAGTTATCACTGCTGTTAAATCCTTTATACATTTTTCAATATTTCTAATAATTACTGATTACTACAAGTCACTACATAGTATATTTTATAATGGAAATTATTGTTGTTGATTGTATTTATCTCATTATTTGGACAGCCTGATACCACTTGATAAATTGGGATATTTGAAAATTAGTGAGAAATGAATACTGGGTTGGAATAAAGAGCATCTTCTTTCTCAGGCTCTTATGTAGAAGCAGTGTCCTCTATGCATCAAACATTTCATGTGCTTTATTTGGACACTACTGCCAGACATTCAGAAAATTTTAAGATATGCTAGATATCAAAGTCTCAACAAATAAAATATATCATCTGTAGTAGTAAAAAAGAATTATACATACTCTAATAGAGGACATTTTTGCCCTTGCACATGATATCCTTGGCACTATGCACCTCAGGATATTAAAAGTGCATACTATTGTCTATAAATATGATTGTCTCACTACAACATTCTGCATTACACACAATGAGTATGAGCATTTTGTTTCTCAAAAATGCAGGTGCAACAGACGTGAGAAGGTACCCAAGTTACCAAGATCTAGTCCATGGTTGCAACTATAGCTTACTTTGCCACAGACATTGCAGTTGAGAAGCTAGGGAACATCGTTATCCTCAAAACACACACCTTACCCCTACTTTGGCCCCTTTGAAGTAAGCTAATCTAGGAATAAGGCTTTCAAGAAATTATCTGTAATCAGAGTGGAATTTTGGAATGATACATTTTGCTCCTTCAAAGACAGCAGGTACTATAGTCAACAGAATAGCAAGACAACAGTCTTAGTAAAAAATGAAATGTATTACTCACAAAAACATAATCTCATCAATATCTTAACCAATAAAGTTCATTACTACTAAATGTAAAACCAAATGTGCGAAAACGAAATCTGCGTACGCCCTTTCTGGAGTAATACCGGCAAAATGCACCTTGTTCTCCGGGTTGACTTGTAATCGCAGGCAAACTGTAAATAAGTATAAAATAGTGGCCAAATACTACAAAACGAATTCTACACTTACCGGCAAGTACGAAGGAGCTCACACAGCAGATGAATCCACTCAAAAATGAATTAAAAGGAAATGTGCCAACGAGTAAGCAATATACAAATTGAACTATGCCTGACAAAAGAATGTACAGAAGGTAAGCGTCGATTACTTTTAGCTTTTTGGGTGTTTTACTTATATATTCATTGTAGAACTTAGATATTACTGTGCCAATTTTTGCCATTTTTGAGAAAATTCTTCAAATTGTTTTTTATCCAACACGTCGACGTATCAATTATTATCAATCAACAAAAATGACAGTGACAGTAACTTGTCATCTGATGTCACCATGTAGGTCACGTGATGTGAGAGATGACAGAAAGCAGCTGCTAGAGTGACTAGTGATGGGAGGTTTAAGTTTCCATGCAAGATACTTACAGATAGCTTAAATTTTGTCAGTGGAATTACAATTTATTAGGCATGTTCTGCCAACGAATTTCCGACAGCTGTGGATGATTGGAAACAGTTACCGAATTCAATTTGACGCACGGACTTGAGTGTCATTTTTTTTTAAATTCGCTTGGTCAACTGAATTTCACAGTTACAGCCTGTTTGGAAATCCTTGCTAGAATATGGCTAATGTAACACCTTGAACTTCTGCGGTTTTTATGTTGATAGGACTCTATTATCTGGCCGCTAATACAATCCACGTTTTTTTTACATCGAAGCAGCCGCGCAGGCAGAAGCCTAAATGCCGGAGCACCGCGGCTGCTATGATGATCCCAAAGACATTTTGTTAATACGATTTTTGAACTGCCTAAGGTTAATAGAACTGGGAAAAGCTTCCTCTTGTAGATTATTCTACAATCTCGGCACCCTCGGGACAAAGGAGCGGCCGTATCGGCCAGTTCTGGATGTACGAAGTTCGACACGGTTAGGATGGGACGCCAAAGTCAGACGAGTCTGTATGGCAGGCACATCGCGCGGCGGCATCATGGAACAGAGCTATGAGGAGCAAAGCCCGTTGATGTAACGGTACAAAAGAGCTAGATCGCCGACTGCGCGCCGGTGCGAAATAGTCCCGAGACTGTCTGTTAGAGAAGAGTCATCGATCAGTCGGACCGCCCTCCTTTGGACAGCATCGAGCATGGATAATGTAGGCCATAGGATGGAAGTTTGCTTAAGAGGCAGCGTGCCACAGCTGATCGAACGCGTTCGTGATGTCAAGAGCAACGACATGAGCCTCACCATAAGACTGGATGAGTTTTCTCCTCAATTGAGTGACGTAAGCTAGGAGGTCCCCTGTGGATCGTTGGTGCCGGAAACCATACTGCCTGTCGCTAATCAAACTGAGACGTTCGAGGTAGTCCAGAAGCTCGAGATTTATGCACCTCTCCATCACCTTACTTAAAACAGAAAGCAGAGCTAAAGGCCTGTAGTTGTAAGGGTCGGTCGTGGATCCCTTTTTTGGGATGGGTTGGACATGAGCAAAATTCCAGTTTTCTGGGAAGGTGCCGGATTCATAGGATATCTGGAAGAGACGCGAAAGAACTGGAGCAAGCTCCCCTGCACACCTCTTCAGCACAATGGCAGGAATCAAGTCCGGACCAGAAGCTTTGTTGATGTCGAGCGACAAGAGCTCTCGTCTTAAAAAAAAATTATCTGGCCGCTAATACAATCACGTATGCTTCAATCAGAGATTATTGCAGGACGTTTAGGCCACCACGGAGCCCTTTTGCAGGTGCATTGACAATAAATATATTTTATCTATCTGTGTTCCATAATATGTCAGTTCACTTATTGTATCTTTTCTACATTACGTATACAATGTCATCCGACAATAGCCTGAATAATAGTCCTGCTATGGTGTTCTCAAATGCCGAATGGTCAGTGTCGCATGCGAAATAGATTAAATCGTACACGAAACTCATAAAGTGCTTTCATGAATCTCGCAATCGACAATAGTATTCGTCACAACCTCGCGAGGCTAAGATCATGCGAACAGCGCATAATTGCAGTTGACAAAGTAGGAGTATGAGCTGCTTGAAAATACGTTATTAATACATTTTCCCAACGCTCGTCTTATAATCAACTAACTCAACAACAGTGACAGCACAGTGACTTACGATGACAAAAGAATCACGAAATTAAAATTCCAGTTTCGCGTAAGAGAATATGTCGCATGCGAGATTCGAGAAACACGCTCCCTGAACCATGCTGAGATCGCATTACATTTCAATCATTACAATTCCTGTTTCCAAAGAACGTCCAGCCTTCAAAGCAACAAGCGAGCAATCGAGCAGTAACAAACGTCAAAATCAGTTCTAAGCGAGCAATATATGGGAAACAAATCGTAGGTCTAAAGGGGAGAAAGTATCAATATTGCACAAAGAGGATAACAATTGCAGAAGAAACTATAAATAAAGCAGCCCATGTGGTGTCTTACATGATTTCCTCACAAGACAAATAACGTGGTTGCCTGGTGTCGAAGTACTATTTTCGCATTTTAGTCCATGAACAATGCACATGCAGCATTAGAAGTCAAAGATTACATAACAGTCATCCGGTATGTTGCGACAACAGTTCCGGTCGGGGTTTCGCGTTCTCGGAAAGCTTTTAGCGATTTCGTGTCGATGGACGAGGATGATGGGTTTGGTGTATTCAAACAACGACGTATAACCTCATGCTCGCTTGTCGCTTTGGGGAGTTGGACATTCCTTGGGAGTGACAATGTTTACTCCTGGCGATGATAGGCTTTTCTGGTTATATGCGGAGACATCTTAAATTGTAATGATGGTATCGAGTGATCTCTGGCTATTATCGCCACACACTGTGTAGTACTGAGGAAAAGACAAAATAAATGTACTGTCGCCTGGAAGGCAGATAAACAATATACTATCATTAATTGTCAATGTACTTGAAAAAGGCCGAAACGCCGTTCAATTAACAGAATTCCAAACATATGTGGTTTGAATTAGCGGCCAGACAATGGAGTCCTATCCAATATGGATAGTAATGACAGTAGCTGTCATCCATCTAACAATTCAGGATCGTTACTCGTAACGACTCAATACTCGTTCTATATTTATTTTTGTGGGCCCATCTCCACTTTCGGATTGCAGAAAAGTGAAACGTAACGTAAACTTCTGCGAGTTGAAGTATTTTAGTTTTTCAAATAACACAAGATTTAATTTCCATTTTATGCAAACCAAAAACAACTGTCCGAATATCCTGCAACATAATTTGTGTGATAATTAGTTCAATACAGTCAAGGCGCTAGAACACATGGTTGAAAATCAATCGCCAAAAGAACGATCAGACGATGAGGAACCGGAAAGTGAAACAGAAAAACAGCTTTCCAGGGAGGAGTACATGGAAATCTTGAAGAAATGGTTGGACGATGCACGATCATGGCAGTACAACGTATGTGCTATGTTCCCTCCAAGTCTTTTTCTAAACCATCAACTTCATAGCACTTACAACAATCTGTGGTACAACCCATTGCAAGGCTTTACAACTAGCAGCACTACTAGCAATATCAACACTTTTTATCAGGCTTCCACACGATTTTCACCACCTGGTACTTATGAATTTGTGATATCACCACTTTGGAAACGAGCTGTTGCTGAGATGATGGATTTCTTGTTACTATTCCTAATAAAAATGGCCCTGACTTTTCTACTTATTGAAAGTTTTGATATAATTGATTTGAGTTTATATGGATATGAGTCATTTCAAAAGCATCTGGAAGACCCAAACATGGCAATGCCTATGGCTGTTGAACTCCTTACATTGGAACTTTTACATAGAGTAATTGTTGCCGCTTATGAAACATTTTTCTTGAAAGGCAAACAGTGTGCTACTCCTGGCAAAAGGTACATGGGATTGATTGTGATAACTGCAGAAAGTATAACACCTGTTCCTGGTAGAGCCAATGAAACTATAGCTGTTACAGGGGCCTCAGTTTTAAGCTGGAGAAAAGCACTAGGAAGGGCACTGTTGAAGAACTTGTTTGTAGGACTGTTTTTGCCTTTATGCGTAGCATTTTACATTTTTCCACACAATAGGACGAGTTATGATATGATGTCTAATAGTATTGTGGTTGAGTATCATCATGAATTTATGGTCCTCAATGGTAGGGATTAAATTGAAGCTGTTTGGCCAAATCAATGTGATATGTTTAAATTTAAGATACAATCGTTATAATTACAATTAAAAAATGTTAAAATATATTTATGGTAATAATGAATCAAAATATTTTTGTTGTTATATATTTTTAAACATTATGTATTACATGATATGAGCACTGTATAACTCCAATAAACAATTATAGCAAAATACTTGAATGTCTTTTTTGCTTTTGAAAAAAGAATAAACATGAGAAAACAATCTTTCTGTTTTTTGCGTGCGATACAAATATTCTTTAGTTTTGAGTATAATCAAATCCAAGCGAATAACCAAAATTTCTGTGTTATGTGCCGCGGTTATAATATGGTTCAAGATGACACAGGGGTTGATGACGTCAGTTACACGAATCGCTTGAACGCGTTGGTTTTAACCGCGGTTTTGTTGCAAGTTGTTTATGTTAGAAAAGCGCGTATATAATCTCTGATTATTTTTATTATCACTTAATAATCGGTGCTTTTTCGTCTACAACTGTATATGGAAAGTTTAAACAAGAAACCTTTCATAATATTCATGGGAGAAATGTTTTTTTCAGATTTTTTTTAATGATGGAACCATGGCTTTGTAGCTATGATAACTTTCAATTCTCTAAATTTTTCCGCATGTCAAAGAAAACATTTATTGATTCAGCAGAAATGATGAAAAAAGAAATTAGCAAAACCGTATACAGGTGGATATCATCTAGTGAGTTTATATGGCCATATTTTAATATTCTTGTGGTATATGGCTACACAGGATACTTTGTTAAGCATAGGAACTACATTTAAAGTGTCCCCAACAACCGTAATGAGTATAACTAATAAGGTGCTCCACTTTATGGTAAAACTGAAGTCAGCCTGTATCATTTTTCTCAAAAATGAAGCTGAAGTACAATAACAATATCCAATACCCGGCAAAATTCTAACTTGTCACATTTCAAATAATAACCAGAAATATAAAACTACTCTTGAGTTGGGTAAATACCACAATTTTGCGGTGATAACTATGGCATATAACAGCTGATTCGTGACGATCTTATAACCAAACTGATAACTACACTCGCTTGAACGGATTGGTAAATACCAACCCAAAATGGTAAATACCATAATCAAATCCAAGCGAATAACCAACATTTCTGTGTTATGTGCCGCGGTTATAATATGGTTCAAGATGACACACGGGTTGATGACGTCAGTTACACGAATCGCTTGAACGCGTTGGTTTTAACCGCGGTTTTGTTGCAAGTTGTTTATTTTAGAAAAGCGCGTATATAATCACAGATTATTTTTATTATCACTTAATAATCGGTGCTTTTTCGTCTACAACTGTATATGGAAAGTTTAAATAAGAAACCTTTCATAATATTCATGGGAGACATGTTTTTTCAGATTTTTTTTTAATGATGGAACCATGGCTTTGTAGCTATGATAACTTTCAATTCTTTAAATTTTTCCGCATGTCAAAGAAAACATTTATTGATTCAGCAGAAATGATGAAAAAAGAAATTAGCAAAACCGTATACAGGTGGATATCATCTAGTGAGTTTATATGGCCATATTTTAATATTCTTGTGGTATATGGCTACACAGGATACTTTGTTAAGCATAGGAACTACATTTAAAGTGTCCTCAACAACCGTAATGAGTATAACTAATAAGGTGCTCCACTTTATGGTAAAACTGAAGTCAGCCTGTATCATTTTTCTCAAAAATGAAGCTGAAGTACAATAACAATTTCCAATACCCGCTAAAATTCTAACTTGTCACGTTTTAAATAATAACCAGAAATATAAAACTACTCTTGAGTTGGGTAAATACCACAATTTTGCGGTGATAACTATGACATATAACAGCTGATTCGTGACGTCACGGATCTTATAACCAAACTGATAACTACACTCGCTTGAACGGATTGGTAAATACCAACCCAAAATGGTAAATACCATTTCCATTTGGTTATCCGCTTGAATTTGATTCATGTCTATTTGGTTATCCGCTTGAATTTGATTTATGTTAAACCAGTAAACGACTGAAACCACCTTATGGTTAACTTACGCAAGTAATAGGAAAGAAACATGATTTGACAACAGCGTTCATAAGAACAAAGTTAACCTAACTTTCCAGTGTTTTGGTTTGTGATTTTGATTTTAGCCTTCTATTTTGTGAATATGCAGAAATATGAAAAATTGGAGAAAATCGGCGAAGGAACTTACGGAACAGTTTTTAAGGCGAAAAATAGAGAAACTCACGAGATAGTAGCGCTAAAAAGGGTTCGCTTGGATGATGACGATGAAGGAGTACCGTCTTCTGCTCTAAGAGAAATTTGTCTTCTAAAAGAACTGAAGCACAAGAACATTGTTCGTCTATACGACGTCCTACACAGTGACAAAAAGCTAACGTTAGTCTTTGAACATTGTGACCAGGATCTCAAGAAGTATTTCGACAGTCTCAATGGAGATATAGATTTAGATGTAGTGAAGTCTTTTATGTACCAGTTGTTGCGAGGACTAGCCTTCTGCCACAGTCACAACGTGCTCCATAGAGATTTGAAACCTCAAAATTTGCTGATAAACAAAAATGGAGAGTTGAAACTTGCTGACTTCGGATTAGCGAGGGCTTTTGGCATTCCAGTCAAATGTTACTCAGCTGAGGTTGTTACATTGTGGTATCGACCTCCTGATGTTTTGTTTGGAGCCAAACTGTATACCACATCCATTGATATGTGGTCTGCTGGGTGTATCTTTGCGGAACTGGCAAATGCTGGTAAGAGAACTCTAATAAAAAATAGTTGTTTAATGCAAATTTAAATTGATATGAGTTGAGCTCAAGGAAATTTGTAGCATATTTTCCTATTTTTTATTATGTATTGACAATGGCTTGATAACCACATTCTCTGACATGGGGCTGCAATAAAAAAAAAATTACATTTCAAGAAGTGGATACCCCTGATATCTTATTAGCAAAGTATATCACTTCCATTGCTTTACCCAAACCAAGCTTTGGGGGTGGACAAGAGTATTATAATCCTAATATGATTGAGCTTAGCATTCATTGTATTTTGTAATCACCTTCATGAGGAGCCCTAGAATTAAAATCAACATGACACCAACACAGAAAGCATTTTTAGTAAATTCTCTAGTTTTTGCTGAACAAAAAATATAAGTACGACTAGAATATTAAATTGTAACAAAATGTAATCAGTTAATAGGTGCAGATATCCATTTTAGCACCAATATCAATTTGGTTCAATCATACCTACCTTGTCCTTAGTAATGTTTTCTTATGTGTTTTATTCAAAAAATATCAGAGCTATATATTGTCTATTATGGAGTACATATCTACATATAAAGTGATTGCCAGAAGCATAAAAAATAAGTTCAACTTTTAAGTATGGCATATCATTTTTGTCAAGAGATTATCAAGTAAAAAGGGCAGAAAAATACTTTAAATACATTATTGATGTGAGACCTATTAGCACAATCACTCAGATATCCATAATCAAGCAATGACATAAGTGCAGAAATGTGAAAATACCAACTCATATATGAGTTCTATCACATACAAAAACACTGAATTAACTATTTTCTGACAGTTCCAGTCAGATAGGAGTAACATAGATTAGCCAATGATTATCAACCTTTTCCTGCCACGTGACAGTGCCACCACTTTGTCATTTTGACTTTTGTAATATATATTTCTGTGTGTTGTTTCGATAGATATCAAAAATAATCCAATGGCCGTTTTCAGTACATTTTATGTGATGCAAATCAATTTTAGATATTATTCCTACATATCAATACACCCCAGCACAATTGGGCCAGTGGATGTTACAGTAAGACGTACCTAATTTGTGCGACTCTTTTCTGATAAATAAAAACCTGTTATTATTACCTTATAGAATCGAAGTCAACTTCAAAAATGTATTACGGGCGATACGGGATATGTTTCGCATGTTCATCAAGAATATTATCAAAAAATTAATGGTATTAACTATTGGAAATTTTAACATTTACTTATATAGGAACACGGCAAAATATTTGTAGCAGTTTTGAACTAAAATAGCAAAAAGTAAAAAAAAATGGGCCACGATTGGGTCGTACATGATTTGGCGCCCACTTGCATTACTACTCTGCCAATTCTGATGTTACGTTTCAATAGCGCATACTTATAGATGTATGGTATTTATTTTTTCTTCCTTTTTTATAATTTTTGTTGTAAGTACGTACCTAGGTCATTTCAATAGCGAATTAAAGCATTTTCAAGATGAAAAAGAAACAATAAAAATTCTAATTTCATCCAAAATTCGGCTGTAAAAATCAATAATCGGTTGCCATTACGACATGCGATAATTATCGCTAAAATTTAAAAAATACGAAATCTCGTAACACGTGGTAATTATGGTAAGTATACGCCTTTATCACTGATTTTAAAAATACGGCCTCTGGTACCTCTGTGGTTCTACACTTCATTTTACTTCCCACGCCTACTGCAGCGGAAGTATTTTACCTCGAAAAATTCCAAAAATGAGATGTTTTTCGGATGTTATGTGACGCAAAAAACCATGTCACTAATCTGTTGGTCTGTCTGCTGATAGTTGCTTTCCGCTAATCCTTGGCCCATCTATAACTTGGAAAGTATCAATCGGATATTTATGAACTTTTCACACAAAGCTGCTACTACTATCTACTAAGACTCACCCGTCCACGTTTGAATTCTCCATACCAACGGGAAATTGTCGACTGATGTGGCGCTTCGTTGCCGAAAACAGACAGTAACTCAGCAAGGCATTCTTGTTGCGATAATTGTCTCTGAAAGTTGTAATAAATTATGACGCGAAAATTATTAATATAATTAATAATTACTTGGTGACCCTTAAAAATTCACTGTAGTGAGAACACTGCACGTATTGTTGTGAAACTTTGAATTTAAGTTTACTAAAGTGTGAGGTTAAGATTCAGTACTGACGTTCGATCCGCGCGGCCTACTATGTTTCTATATGCAAAACTTAAAAGACATTCCTCGTAGGGGATCGAGGAAGGTTTCGATTTTTTGTCTTCAGTGTATGTACACATTTCCAACTCTATTAGTTCTAGAATTATATGCACTTGTTAGACATATTTCAAATATCATTTATTTCCCCGTACAGTACCCCTTAAAAGAGCGATAGAAATATTTTCAACATACGCGTATACCAATCTGCGTTGCGGAATCCCCGACGCAATGGGTGGTCGCCGTGCAGCGTTGTCAGGTTCTTCGTGAGAAAATCGTACAATCGCATCGAAATTACACACTTATGAACTGACGACAGTGTTGCATGGGAAGTCCAGAGTCAACGTACTTGACGCCATTACTTTTACTAGGGAGGTATGCTTTATTGGCGTCTAAAGTTTGCCAAATCAATGTAAAACAATATGAATGTCTAACAATCATAGTCTAAACTGTTTGCTACTCTCATTGTTCAGTTGGCTGTTGGTTATGTACCCTGTTATGAAGGTGAATATAAAAAAAATCTTATGGAAATATTTATTCAACTGTGCTGATTTTTTTGTATTGTTTAATTCGATACTACAGTTGAATTCACGTATTTTTTCAGGTAGACCATTATTCCCAGGATCAGATGTTGACGACCAGCTGAGAAGGATTTTCAAGCTTCTAGGTACTCCTACAGAAGAGACTTGGAGTGGGATGTCCCAGTTGCCTGATTATAAACCATTTCCCATTTATCAGCCTAATATGAGTTTATCACAGGTGAATTATTTTCGATATTTCTAAAGTTTTAATAAAACAGTTGTTTATGGAATATAGTATATGAGGAATTGTTTAATCAAGTTGTTTGTGCAGTTTGATGGTGCAATAAGTTCCAGTGAGATCGTTTTTACACACTCATAGTACTGCTATGAGAATATTCATCTAATTCGCCCTGTTATCTTGCCGTCCTATTCCAACTAATACACTGTATCATATATTTTCATTGTAAAACGTTTGTGTTTGTAGTATTTATGTTTGGTCCTAATCATCGAGAGCAAATTTAATAAATCAAAGAATAACTTCATTTTTATAATCAAGCTTTTATTTAGCTGTTAATAAAACGAACTAAAAATGTTTCCAATCGGAAACATGCCATTATATACTTCTAAAACTTTAAACGGTAACAAAGCTCCTTCGTCTCTGTTTTCAAATAAAAGCTTCTTACAGGTTTTTCCGCCGTATTAGATTCTAAATGATTGCGATTAATTTATTATGTATTGATACGCGAAATTGGGCGAATCGAACCGAAGCTATTGTAATGAGATGTTGTCGAGCGTGGTTCCAAGGAGGCCGAAACCGACGAGTTAGAGGTACTGGACGTCAAAGACAGACTACAGAGCAACATGATAGTTATTTGAGGCAATTAGCAGTTAGAGATCGATTTTCCACAACAAGAGCAGTTGCGAACCAGCGGTTTGATGCTATCTGAAGAGCAATAACAATGAGGACAGTTTCGCTGAATAAGGTCTTTTGGACTGTTTTCAAACCGCCCCATCTCGTACTACCTCTGATTCCACAGCATCGTTGGCAACGATTGGTATGGAGTAGGGAGAAACTCAGGGTGCCATTGCTTACGGCAGCAGGTCACGATTAGTGTTCATTCTAGGTACCATGACTGCCCAGCGCTATATCCACGAAGTATTACAACAACATCTGCTTCCGTTTTTTGAAACATTGCAAGGTCCACTTTTTCAGCAGGACAATGCGCGGCCTCATGTCGCACGTATTAGTTTGGACTTTTTAGAAGCATCCAGAGTAAAACTGCTTCAGTGCCCTACTCGATCTCCAGACCTTTCCCCCATCTAACATGTATATGGAACATGATGGAAAGAAGGTTTCAAAATTCATCACACCCTCCACAAACTTTGGAGGCTCTACGAAACCAAATTCAGATGGTCTGGGATACGCCGAGAAGATATCAATCATCTTATACCTAATTGAATCAATGCCGCGACGACTTAACAAATGTGTAGCGAACAGAGGAGCTTCAATACATTATTAACATTAAGGTGGGATATTTCAGCTATTTTTCGAAATTTCGAGTTTTACTCACTTTCTATGTATCAGCAGACCTAAAACTTATAAAAGTATGCTCAAAATTACAGCATTCCTAGACGGTGTTGCAGTTTCTATGTCATTTAGTATATGTATAAAATTTCAGGTTAATTGGTTAATATCAGCTTGTTCAAATTAATTTTTTTTTTCAAGATTTGTCCCACACTAACATACTAACAAGTCTCGACAAGTCTTCACGTTTATTTACAAGAAAACTCTCCTCTTTCCCTCCTTAGCCAGTTTTCTCTGAAGTCTCCTGTATCGTCCAAGAATCGATGATCACTAGTTCTGCTCTTAGTGCCGTTGTTAAAGTCACTCGATAGCAAATTTGAAAACGCGATAATCTTGGGGTTAAAAGACCAGTAATTTTTTTACTCCGTTGCATGAAAATTACTCGTAATCTTCAGGTTTATCAACAAGAAAATTCGACTGTTTCTCTCCTTATACAGTAATAAATTAATTATTTTTTATTGACCGAACCCATCGACTTTAAAACGAGTTTCAAAGTCGATGACCGAACCCCAAGATTACCTCGTTTTCAAGTTTGTTCGTGAGATACCTTGTGTCGACTCAATTCGATACCTTAGAATTGTATTATTTTGATATGTGCTTAAAAAGGATATATTTGTTCTAGGTAGTGCCTAAATTGGGTAACAGAGGACGTGATCTGCTACAAAGACTTCTAGTATGTAATCCTATGGGTAGAATGAATGCAGAAGATGCAATGTCTCATCAGTATTTTAATGATCTGAATCCCGCCATTAAGAATGATAGATGTTAAGAAAAACCCCCAGCATTTAAGGAAAAACTTTTTATACATCTGTATTTATAGATCTGTTCTAATAATCACTTTTTGATATAAAAACAGTTCTGTATTTTAAGAAGTTGATAAAATGTGTACTTGGTTATTTATTTTAAAATATACAGATAATTTTATACATATGAACCATATACGTATATGTATATATACATACTGACTCTAGTCAAATGTCTTAAATTATGTTTTTGTATTAATTTATCCAAGTTATTAAACTGCATTTCTATATTTGTTTTAATGGCGCTTTTCAGTTGAGTTAATACAAAAAAAAGTTTGAGGCATGGTTTGAACAGACAGCGTTTCTAAGATTTCTGATATGCAACTTACTGCAAATATATTCCATATGTTCAATGACCTGTCATGCGTTGATCTTCGTCGTGTGATGCCAGTAACCAAAACGCCGATTTTGGGAAAGTATTTTCTAAAGAAATTATCATTTTTTTTAAACGGAAGCAACCGCGCAGGCAGGGTGCTATGAGGATCCCCAAAAGCTTCCTATTGTAGATTGTACCACAATCTTGATACCGTTGAGACAAAGGAGCGGTCGTATCGGCCAGTTCTGGATGTACGAAGTTCGACACTGTTAGGATTGGGAGGCCAAAGTCAGGCGGGTCTGTCTGGCAGGCACATCACGCGACGGCATCATGGAAGAGAGCTTTGAGGAGCAAAGCCCGTTGGTGTAGCGGTAGAAGAGACTTAGATCGCCGAAGGTCGATGGCCCACCGGTGCGAAATGGTCCGAGACTGTCTGTTCGAGAAGGGTCGTCGATCAGTCGGACAGTCCTCTGGACAGCATCGAGCATAAATAATGTTGTGTGAGCAATACTCGCGACTAGGCCTTGAATAGAGTGAGAAGGTCATGCGTAGAAAAGTACTTCTTAGCCCTAAACCAATAGCCTAGCTCTTTCCCAGCAGCTGCCGCTACTGACGAGATGTGTTCGTTCCAGATCAAGTCCTCGGTGATATGGACTCCGACCAGCAGAAGTGAACGGCTCTTTGGCAAAACTCGGCCATCCATCGAAACGGAATGAGCGCTAGGACGCTTTTTGTTCGTCAAGGAACAGTTGTTTTGGAAGCATTAAGATTGTTGCGTCCTCACGCAGGAAGTCGTCGCTAGTCTTCTTTTTTCTAGATCGGCGGCAGAGATCGGCTTGTCACTCTGAATTCCTGCATGTAGAGTGCTGTCATCAGCAAAGCTGTGGATTGGGTTGATGGTACAGGAAAGGAGGTTGTTGATATGTAAGAGGAACAGCGTCGGAGCCAAGACAGGTGCCTGGGGAACACCCACGTTGACGTTGTGGGATAAACAGGAGAACCTATCAATTACGACGGCAAGTTAGAGGTAGTCCAGAAGCTTGCGATTTATGCACCTCTCCATAACCTTACTTATAACAGAAAGCAGAGCTATAGGTCTGTAGTTGTAAGGGTCGATCTAGATTCTTTATTGGGATGGGCTGGACATTTTTCAGTTTTCTGGGAAGGTGCCGGATTGATAAGATATCTGGAAGAGACGCGAAAGTACTGGAGCATGCTCCGCTGCACACCTCTTCAGTACAATGGCAGGAATCAGGTCCGGACCAGAAGCTTTGTTGATGTCGAGCGACAAGAGCACCCGTCTTACGGTCTTATACCGGAATGTTACGTCCCGCTTAGTAAAGGGAACCCTTTGAATCGACGGCACTTGGGCGTTAGGGGGGACGTGCATGGTGGAGTTGGCAGCAAAGATCTTGGCAAGTACTTCCGCATTGGCCTTTGAGTCTGTTACAATCGTTCCATCCTGACACGCAAGTGCTGGAAAGCTACTGCCATTGCGCTGCGACATTACCCTGTGCCTAAGTTGTATATCACGCTTCGTTATATTTGTTTCTGGACTCGACGTCGGATTGTCTGTTCAATACAGTGGGGTTTTGTAAGAAGGTTCAGGTCAGCGAAACAAACATTTCTCAAGCTCATTATGGGTATTGAAATCACCGAGGAGAACTACCTCTGAAGCGGGGTGATTGATGTTCAGGAAGTCGATCTTGACGGCAAGGTATTCAAGTTAGTCATTCCAGTTTTGGTCCGAGGGAGAGCGATAAAGGCAGCAAATAAATTTGAGTATGTTTTGGAGTTTATTCGAAGCCTCAGAATGTATTTCCAATCTGACTTCAGAGCGTCTCTGGAGCAGGAAAGACTGCTGTGGACAAAAGCCACAACTTCCCCGTTCTTTCTCAGATCGGAGTCCACCTCGTAATTTGGGAAGCTGATATGGTTAATCGGTACATACTTTTGTCTCCGCTAAGAAAAACATGGCGGGACGATTGGATTGCAAGTAGTGATTAACAGCATCAATGTTGCCGTTAATCCCCCAGATGTTCGTGAAACAAATTTTATCTTCGATGTTGTGCCCTCGAGTCCACCCTCCACCCGGACAGGCCGAGAGTGGAGTGAGTTTACGTCCGGAATTCTTAGTACTCGAGGGATCCATCATCATTAATTTCTTTGTTGGGGAAGATAGAGGTCATAGAGATGAATTAGATTGAAACTCATCTGATAAGTAATATATATTAAACACCTTTATTTACCTACAGCAATAGCACAGATGTATAATCATGAAATAAGGACTAAGTACAATAAATATAATACAATATTCAACTTTTGGCCGACGATATCTGGCACACATATATTTGCATTGCAATTACATATTTCCTATATCGAAATATACAGCTATTCATCTATACATATCTAATACACAAACTGTTATATTTATTTAAGGCATATATTGCCTATAAAAGTTGAAATATCAAACGCTTGTATAAATTCCTAGCGTATTTCTCAATATACAACTACACTGAACAAAAAGGAAAATGAAAAACAAATTCAAAAACTGAAAATTTATTGAAAATAAGTAACAAATAAATATACATATCAAAACTTAAATCAAATAATATTCTCCAAATTTTACGTATCAGAATCAAAATTAGTATGGCAGTAAAAACATAAACTAAGTTTAACTGGGTATTCAGAGTTCACAAAGATACATATTAACAAAAAGTGATATTTGTACGTATTTTCCGAATTCCAAAACATCTTTATTGGCATTTGACAATAAATCATGTTCACTGGTGGTGGAAAAGAGTACATACTTTTCGTGAACTCTGCAAAAATACTTTAAAACATGGTCAGAACTTAAGAGTGAAGCGAATAATATTTTAGCGCTAGTATGACTGTCCGCTAACTTTAAAAAATAAAATATTGCTGTGGTTACATGGTGGTGATCTGAATACGGTTTCAGATATAGCAAACCAAGAAATAACGATACAGCAGGTTTATATATAGGGATGCGTCGAGTACTAGTTTTTTCGGGAAGCCGGGTATCGAGCACTCGGTGGAATGCGAAAATTTTATGAATTCAGATGTCTACAACACGTACATAAATCCATATGGGGTCATAGTAGATAATGCTACTTAATTTAGAAAATTACGTAAATGGCGGCGGTGTTACGAGAATAGCTTTCAGCTCGTCATAAAATTTGTTTTTATATGTTTTCATCTTTCTGAACATTTTTAAGGGTTATCAAACGTCTTTGTGGAGAGGTAACACGTAAAAATCTCGAAAATTTGCTTTCATCGTTTCTGATTGTTTCACGTTAAGCAGTATTCAAAAACATTATGGTTAATTTCGAAAAGCTTCTTTCAGCTGTTGTAAACTAAATGGTTGAAATAGGAAGCATGCTACTATCAATTGGCCGTACAATCTAAGATTTAGCGCTTGAGAAATTTTAATTTAGCGTACGAACTATAAATTTGCGACCGTGAAAGACAACGCTTTTTTTGTACTCGGAGGCCCCTGAAAGCTGGGGACCTCATATCATTGATACGGCGGTAGCTACGGCCCTGATTTGAAGCATCGTAAGTTAGTGTATTTGTATGTTTGTTTCAGATTTATTTAGCATTAATGCTACAATGTCCATAATATCCACAGTACACAGTATATCACAAAATATATTATGTCTTCAAGACTACATATTTTTATACAAAATCTCACTAATATGAATCCTGGTTTTTCATTAGATATTTTTTCCCTTTGAACATTTTCAAACTGACACACATCTTGATATCATTACTTAATTTATTAAATTCGTACAATCCCTTTTGAAATACTGACTAGCTCTTTATATTGCTAATTGTGGCACTCATTGTTCAATACAATAAAATTTTCTAAGTGATTTGGCAGATAATTTTTTAATTTGAATATGAAAATGAAAACTAATTAGGCTATGAAATTTTTGAAATTTAAATATTGTAGTTCTTACGGCATAACATTAATTCTAGTATATTTATTTTTATTTATAGTATATTTTCAGAAGTTAAAAATCTTGCAACAGTTAGGTATATAGAAACCTTCCTTACTTTGACATTACATTTGTTTGTTTTTTATTTACTTTTCAATCCTTTCTATTACAAAAAAGCACATTTGTAAGACATTCAAAAGAATATACTCAACCTCTTCAACCGACAATTTTGTTGAAGGTAGGCAACGCAAGGTCCAAAGCTGCTCAAATTTCGAAAAAATAAATCAGAATCGCTGCCAAGTCATAGCTTTCAGGAACACCGAATTAAAAATCTGAACCTTTGGGAGGAGGTTACAAAGATTTGAGATGGACTAAACCCCAATTATCCTTACGCATGAGTACAGGTTTTCTTTGCCAAAACGCGAGCTTTCAGTTATTCACGTTAGTTTTTTTTGCTACATTTTGTTTACGCTGTTTTGTGGTTTTTGTTGTTTGTTTTTGTTTTCGGGAGAAGACGAAGACGGCTGAAATTTACTAAAAATCATCCAAATTACCCTAATTCCGGCAAAAATATTCTGTAATCTTAGCTTGCGTAGCTGCCGAGTACCGGGTAAAAACCGACTACTCAGTACATCCCTAATATCAACAAAGTAAAATTAAATATTTTTAATTCTTTGACATAACAAACTTAATAGAAACATCAAACAGTCCTTAACACAAAATTAATATAGTAAAATAAAAATATAACAAACCTTATATCACACTTGATTCTCGCCTTTCAGTCTTTATCACGATTCACTATTTTTTCTGCTCTTAGTATTTCACAATCGAAGCACTTTTAAGCACCCTTTGTGAGTCTAAAAATTGTTAGTAGTTGCGCTAAGATAAGTAGAGTAACTTAATGTGTGTTATGCTTTCTTAACATATTTAAGACATAGAAATTGTAGCTGGCCACCTCACTTCAAATTTTTTCTAAAACACAAGTCACAATTTATCTACAGTACTTTAGGCAGCAGCGGTAACCGCAGTAGTAGACTCTTCAGTCTCCGCGGTGACCGCAGTAGTAGACTCTTCAGTCTCCTGATCAGTCGCCGTGCGCTGTGCGGGTTTGAATCCCGTCCCAGGAGAAATTTTTCTCTCGGCTATGGATGTTGTGACTGTCCGTAGGTGGTAGACGGTCTCTGACTGTCGAACGTGGAGGTACCACCCGGCGGATCTCGTAGGCGGAGCCAGAATGTGTGCATGTTGCATGCACACGTGTTCCCTCACCAGAGTCCGTGTGGCGTTCCCTCTTTTCCCGTTATCCCCCTATAGCCCCACGGTACCCAATGTGTGTTTAGGCCTTCGTGGTAGTTGGAGTATAAAAAAACAGTGCTTTCCAAAAAGGTATCTCCTCCCGCTTATTTTGATTGGGTGAAGTTAGCAAGCTGAAATTCGGGGAGATTGATGCACGAATATCATCTTCTAACGTAAAAGTGACAGTTAAAAATTTCAAGATTGTGGCTAGGTGTCATCTTGGAACATTTTTTAAATGGAATGGTGGTCGTGTGATACCTTATTTTGAGGGTTCTAATGAGTACTAATTCTAGATTTCAAAGGACCTGGCAGCATGCCTATGTGAAAAGTGGTTTCGGTTTATCTCGCTGAATGCTTTAAATGCCTTGATGGGCTCAGGGCTCAGTGGGGCTCCTGTTAGTTCGTCCAACAGGGCGGCGCGAACGACGATAGGGGAAGCGGGGCAACCATCCGCGCGGCACAGTTTGCCGCCGCGACTAGTATAGGCCGAGAGAAAAATATCTTTATCAACGTTATCTCGATATTGCTTAGAAAGTAATAGTTTTTTGGCCCAAGATATAATATTTGGAATACATTGTGAAGTACATGATTTGAATCGGAATCGGGGTGGGACAAGAAGTACGAGACATAAAGAATTTATCCAGAAATTTTTTTCGAGTATACCAGAATGAGCATCGAGACCTTCGATTATATTCTAATTAATATTCAACCAGAATTGGAAAAAAGTTAATGCAGACAGAATTTTAAATGCGGCTGAAAAATTGTTTTTGACATTAAGCTATCTGTATAAAGGATGACATTTAATTAGCTGAGAATATTTTGAGGAATAATAGTACTAATCATCAATATAAACAACTTTCACCAAAAACATATGGTCGCAAACGGATTGTTTTCGGAACTATCATTGCCCAAAATATGGTTAGCTAATTAAATGTCACCCTATTTCATTAAATTCGGTAAAAAGCTTTTTCAGGGCAGTCAATGTTGCTGCTCTTCAACAGAAGTTCGCCTATACAATTTTGCTTTTCTGTCACTATTCCGTCCCCATTGAATGTAGTAAACACCTTATTAAGCTTCTCAATTTGATTCATGAAAGCTGTGGAAGGTTTTAATAATCCACTTTCACTAAGATGGTCTATCTAGGATTAAGTTTCATTTAAGGAACTTTTCAACCTCTCATCCTGCAATTTATGGCAAACAAAGCCGGCCAAATTTTTCAGCCCATCATACTCGAGCTCATCCATTTATTCGACTAAAACTTCCTCGTTATAGTCAGCTGATACTTCAGGTGCATTCAGTTTATTCCTTAATGATGCAATACTCTGAGTATGCGCCTTCGTTTCGCCCCAAAATATATGACCTTATTCTATACTTAAACTCTAGGGGATAAGTTGAGCCCTTTGCCTTTTTTCGTAAGTACTTTTCCGCTTCTCCCCATTAACAGATGTAGATGGTCCAGGTGATGATAGAGACTTGGGTAAATTTTCCATAGGAATAGCATCATCTTTTAGAGCACGGTAACTTTTAGGGGTGTAACCTAAAAAGGTATGTTTTAAATTGACCTTATAGGCACTTTCGCAAAAATGCTTCGAGCAAACCCTAGCGCTTTTTACATTGACTTTGTCTTTTCTTTTTGTAAGATGTAGCCATTTTTTGCTAAGGCTTGGGTCTTGAGGAAATCTGTAGAACTTCATGTGTCGTTGCAAGGATTCCGTTTAGACTGGTTGTGGGACTTACATCCCACAACAGCACACCGCATTTTTGACAATTTATCAACCACACATTCTATATAAAGTATGTATAACTAATAGAACAGGTCACAAAACCACCAAAAACGAGCCGACAACTCTCCGGGTGACGTCATGAAGCTCCGCCCAGATGCGCAATATCCTACCTTCAGTGTATGTGTATCATGGATTCATGCCTTTGTTTCACTCACCCGCCGCGTCGCCAGTCGTCCCCGCGCGGTTCATTTCGTCCGTCGCTTCGCCATTCGCTGCCGCGAGTGGCTTGATAAGTACGTTTCTATGCGTTTATTTCAATCGCTGGACGTTTCGCCGTTCGCACCGCGCGAATTTTCGCTATGGCGACTGTCCTGTGGCCAGGCCGTGATGTTGTGTCGGTTTTACTAAGCTATCTGCTCTATCTAGAAGAGTGGTTTAGGTAGATATGACTGACTTATATCTTGGGACCCCTTGAGTTTTGGGGTTTGCGCATTTTGAGACATTTGTTCAGAATGCCGAGATTTGTGAGACTTCACAAATTTAGGCACATTTAACTGAAACCACTCACCAGATAGAGCAGATAGCTGAGTAAAACCTATAACGCATTAACGGCATGTATCTTGGGACCCGTTGAGATATATAACATAAACTCAGCAAAATTAACCGAAACCACTTTTTCCATAGGCGTTTTGCCGGGTAGTTTACTACCTTACAAAATGGCGGGCTGTCAAAGTTGCGCGTTTTATACATTGAATCGCTTATGCTTCATTTTTTTTAACTCAGATCTTTGGGGGGTCCAAACCCCAGGACACCTCCCTGGATCCGTCTCTGTGTCAGTCCGTCATTTTGAAAGATGATCAATTTGTATTTTAGTAATCATTAAATGATCTCCCATTTAATTAAAAAAAATGATCCAAGATAATGGCCAACCTCCTTTTTGAGATTTTTACGCTAAAACATAGTATTCATCACCTCGAATTTCAGTTTCCCAACTTGACCCGTTCAAGCAATACGTAAAAAACACTGTATGTGTAGTTACAATTCAGTGTAAGATTAAACTTTGCTGAGCTGCAACTATTCGTCTTCGTTTAATTTTTTTTCATATAGCTATTTGTAAACGTAAAAAGAGTCTGAGCAGAAATATTGTAAAATAACTGTTTTTAGATGTCATCTTTCTGGCGGTACCAGCAGAATGAGGTAGCAAAGTAAGTAATCGAAAATGTACACAAAATCTATGTGGATATGAACTTTTCAAAACTTTTTAGATAAAACTGCTAAATAATTCTACTATAGTAATTGAGGTCACAAAATTATGGGATAAAAATCCATTAGTACGCTTTTATAGCGTCGGCAAATTCATTTACAGAAAAGATCTGGTATAAGTTACGGGTGGCCAGCTATGAAAATACTCGTAAGAACCATAGATGCAGATAAAATGAAAAATTAAGTATAAGCAGAGATCAACGAACAGAAGCGGTTAAGTAGAAATTGAGAATATTAAGGAAAAACAACGTATTTCCTACTGGACTTGGTCAATCAGATGCGAAATATTTTTACACTCTATCTGACCAAATCAAACTAAGACTAAGCACTTCGCGTAGCATCATCTTTGTAAAAAATATAGATTTAACTATGTAGATATACAGCAAGGCTCTCTATTTTATTTTTTATCATTCTGAGCAGGTTCCAGTAACGATAATGAAGAGAGAATTAGAAATACCCTGCACATCTCTGTCTTCATTTGAGCTTCTATACACAAACTAGATGCTAGAAGTACGTCTACGGCTTTACGATTCTTGCTGGCGACACACGAACTAAAATCGCATTCTTTCCAGATTTTTTGCGGTTGAAGACTTCGAATGCACACGCATAATTAAAAAATATGACACGTATATCCACATTCCCAAGGTTCAGATAGAATATACGCAGTGCTGTGAAAGAACATTCCGTTTTCTAAAATTCAGCATGATTGCTCCAACGTCTTGAAAGTTATGAAAGGTAATGGATTATAATTATTTAACACTTCATGCAGAATGTGTTTTCTATTCACCATGAGCGAAGTGCATAGTGGGGGGACCAGAATTAATTGCCGCACGCGCGTTGGACAAAGGAAACATCGTACAGATCAACTGAGACCTGCAAAGGTGCACATATTTTGCTATCATTTCAGATAAAAAAAATGTCAGTACGAAATTCAAATTGTTCTTAACCTCAAATCGATTAAATATTTTTATTAATGGATATGAATTTTAGTTGGCGAAATTTTAGCGTTTATAGGAAAAAATAGTATTTGTGGACCTTCGCGGACCAGTGTTGTGAAAAGTTTAGGCTATAGAAATGTCTTTGTGTTGTGATGTTGTCAAGTAAAATACTAATGCAGCAGCGGTGGCCGCAGTAGTAGACTCTTCGGTCTCCTGATCAGTCGCCGTGCGCTGTGCGGGTTCGAGTCCCGTCCCAGGAGGAATTTTTCTCTTGACTATGGATGTTGTATGTATCCCCCTATAGCCCCACGGTACCCAATGGGGCCTTAGGCCTTCGTGGTAGTTGGAGTATAAAAAAAATAATAAGGCTTAAGGGGAGGCTGCACATATACACGACCGATTGGTTAAATAAGCAATTTAAGCTTAGAACATTTTTGAATTCCAAGCATACGTTTCTCTTTCCTTAGTTTTATCAAAACCGGCTAAATCCCGCCAACGAGTGTTGAACAAAATGACGATTCCTGAGAATGTGAAAGAAATAAGACTGGTATCAGATGGCTGCAGTGGGCAGAACCAATATAGGATTGTTCTGCGCGCGAAATGAATATCAGAAGAAATAAAGATAAAAAAAACTTGATACAATAGTCAAGCCTCAAACGTGATATAATACTTTCGAAAACCATAGTACTTCAAAAAAACTCTTGTAGGGAGTGTCATATTCAAAATTGGAAAAAAGAGGCCCCAAATGTTATCAAATCAACAGCCTCACTCCATTTCAAGTCATGTAAGCGGCTGATATTGACTCGTTCAAAAAAATCTGCAAGTCCTGGTGAGGGGTGAACCAAATTACCAGTCTGATGTGAATAATGCTAGGCATCTGTAAAAGGGGGAAGCAGATATCGCTCATGTCCCCAGAAAACGTTTGTATAAATAACGTGAAAATATATCCTGAAAAACTAAAGAATGTTGATGAACTTTTAACAAAACATTTTGGAACGGCGTGGAAGCAAAAGAGTGAAGAATTCGAATTGGAATACGATAAGACTGTAATGGATAACCAACAAAGTTTAACACAAGCAGAAGAAAATGCCGATGAGAATAGTGTGCTTTGCTAATACTGAGTGTAGTTTTAAAGCTGATATTGTATGATTGTTTTTATATTCGTTTTTAACATACAGGAATTTTTACTATTCAACAGTTCATATATTAGTGATCGTTAATACATCAGAAAATAATGCACACGAATTGCGTTTCAATACCGTCTAAATCCTGAGATGACATTCAAATTCGGGTAGACCCATACCTACCCCCCTACCATACTGACATATGAGCCAAAAAATATGTTTTATTTTGTAAAATTCCCTTATTGTGCTAGATACATTAATATTACGATATTACTGATTCAAAAACTCACATATAGTAAGAGTTACAGTTTTTCGCCTTTTTCTTAATACTATCAATTTTGGATTTAGCGACGTTTGTAAATAGGGGACATTATGTACGAGTATATGAATAACTATGGCAACCAGTTATTCTCAAAACCTGACTGTCATCCTATAGCTATTTAACTTTTGTGGCCCTGCGCAGAATATTACAAGATTTAGTTTAGTAACAAAAGAGGAACGTATTCTTGAAATTCAATTATTTTCTAACCTCAAATTGATTAGTTACTTAGTGTCGCCGGTTGTATCTAAACCCTATTTCACGAGTATCCATTACGTTTTGACATCTACTGAGGTGAACAGCCAGATAAGAGACCAAGCCTATATCATGCTGATGAGTAGCTAAGAAGCACGAATCAGCTGTCCGTGGTTGGCTGTCTTCTTTTCTTGGTCGGACAGACGAAAGCATCTTGTTTAAGTTAGTCTCTCTCTCTCTCTCTCTCTCTTGCTGTTACCATCACTGTAAACAACTGCAATTTTGACAGTTCGGACGAGTTGAAAGCAGAGATATTAGATAGTATTAATAAACCAAGAAGTAATAGACCTACACACCATGGAAAAACTTGAGTAAAATTACATAATATAGCGAAGTTATGATTTTTTTCGCATTGTTAAATGCGCAGACGGTCTACACGATCCTCGGCGTCAGAACTGACTTCATACAAATACGTGTATCTCTTACGCAGTTTTACCTCAAGTCTTCGTGTAATAAACAGAAATATAACGAAAGAAGAAAGCTTCATTTAACGGCAAAGTAATAATGAAGCGTCAAATCAGAAAGGCCGCGTCTACTTTGAGAAAGATGTGACTGTGCATTCGGCACCAACAACATTTCTTTTTGAGAACCAGTACGTTTTTTTTTTTCGTGTGCCTCCAGATTGAAAAAAGTGAAAAATCTACGAACCGCAAAAGCCATCGTACTGTCGACGAACATAAATATTTCCGTAAATATACACATAGAACAATAGAACACAGAAAAGTTGCGAAACTGCTTTTTTATAATTTACTTATAAAATTATCTGCTTTTAAGTTTCAAATACCTCTTTAACGGTAAATGTTTTAAAAGACTCATATTATATTAGTTTCGGCCGTACGCGATCAAAAGCTGATCTTTCGATTAATGCTTTTTGACAAAGAAGAGTTATCTCTGGCAAATTGAGCAATAATAAATATCTAGAAGAACCAAGCTGCATGTATCCACGTTTTTAGGAGAATTTGAAAAACACCTTGGAATTAGCTGGAACTTGTTCGAACTTGGCTTTGAATATGCTGTTACTCATACCAGTAATTAAAATATTCTACCTGGAGATAGTCATCCATATACTGTATTCCGATATCCAAAAGGAGATTTGAGGTAATAGAGCAATCTATCAGATAGTATCAGAACACAAAGATTAATTTATAAATCTACTTTAAAAAGAGTTGGTGTTTCGCTCTGCTACTATCTCATAGATGGCGCTAGGATCTTTAATCCCTTTTTAGCCTTTCTAATGCCTATTTCAATTGGGTATATTCAGACATTGATAAACGAAGATAACCAATTAAAGTAGCCATTATTAGAGAGGCCAAAAGTAATTGACAGTAGCAGAACCCTTACCAAAATAGATTTACAAATTAATGTTTGTGTTCTACTACTGCCTTATAGAGGGCACTAGGATCTTTTAGATCTCTTATTGGATTCCGGAATGCAGTATATATTGGCTATCTTTAGATAGAATACGTAATCAATCCTCATTAACCAGTTTTTTGGTTCTAAATTGTACATCTATGCAAAACCCGCCGTCTGAGATCTGTCTCTCTTTCTAAGAACCAAACAGGTTTTTTAATATCAGACAGCATTTTCAGGACGAAATCAAAACAGCATAGAACACCAAAAAAACCGTCTAAATAATGGTGAAACAGTGTTGTAGCTGTAGACACGTCAAATTACGCTGTACTCTAATGCAGTAATCGAAAGGTTCACTTTAAAGCTATTTTGTCCGCGCACCGCTTCAACTAGGTATCTACGAACCGACCTCATCCTCAACTCTGGAGGTCGGACTTCGCAGACGCTGCGGCCGCCGCTTTCTGCTTCTCGATATACCTCTTTCTCGCCATTTGGATGAGGTGTTCTTTGCGTTTGTGTAGGATCTTCTCGCGCTCCGCCGAGGATTTTGAAAAGCGGCTGCCTAATGTAACTGTGTCCTCGCTGAAATGAAATTGATCCGTATCAATAGTATCAAAAAGGCTATCTATCAGAATTAGTTTGTTAAGTTGTTAGATCAGTGAGCTAAGACGTTCACCTTACACGCATGTATGACCGGTTGCCTTGTTAAGGTCGACTCAAGCTAAGTTGGTCCTTAATTCATTCATCATTGATGCACTAGATATATTTAAAACTAGAGTGGTACCGAAATAGATGTGCCTAAGGTGCATTTTCTAACGTAACATGAACTATGGTTTTTGAACCTTTTCAGTCGAGATTCTCAAATTGCAGTTTCCAAAGATTGAAATATCTGAAATATGGACAGACATCGCAGAAATTGATGACGTTGACAGAAACATCTGTTGTGCGTGGGATGCCTTGCCAAATCTGTAATACAACCGAATATTTGCCAAAGATTAACGGCAGGCTGGAAATGCCCTATAAATGACAACGATGGATGCTATTTTCACATTACTTCAACAGTTATACTCAAATTTAAACGATAAACAAATTTCAATGGTAATTTTTTGCGACTTTTCCAAAGCTTTTGACTGTGTAAAGTAAATCATGAAATACTATTACATTAAACAAATATGGTTGTACTGGAACTTCACTCAATTGGTTTAAAAAATTTAAATACTCATCCCCAAATTGTAAAATTATAAAGACATATTTCAAATAAATTAAATATAAATGCAGGGAGTAGGAGGATCAGTATTAGGTCCGATCCTGTTCTTAGTTTATATCAACGATTTATTAAACTTAAGCATAAATGGTAAATTCGTAGTTTTTGATGACGGTAGCATAATACTTTGGAAAGACAAAGATATAAATGAAATTAAGACAAAAAGTGAAAGTGATCAATAGAACTTTCTCGTGTACTCAGACTCGGTTTTTGAGTTCCTAAGTGCAATGATTGAACACGAGTTCCAAAAATAGACGCTTTTAGGTATGTATATTGTTTGAAATACGGACTTTATATCAACCAGCTGAAGACAGAGGAGTGAAAGCTGCAGGGTGAGCAAGTCATACATGTTTTATTTACATTATTTTCCAGCTGTTCAATGTCATTTGCAGTAATAAACATGACCTATAAATACTTTGTAGTTTTACAAACAAATGGTATGTCAAAAATTCGACAGCACACTAACAAAAAAATAATCACATGACTCGTCGCAGACGGTGACGTACTGCGAAGCGCGCCGAAAATGCGGTGTTTGAATCAACGTCATTGGCATTGCAGTTTTAAATGAATGATTAAAAATAAATATAGACGTGTTTACAATATTATACTAACGTAAATAAATGGCTTAAAATGCATTCAAATATTATGAGTACCCCTAATAGGTACGTTTGTCGGTGTACGCATACTTTGCTGGTGGTAACGGGAAGTTTTGCACAAAATACAAAGGGCACTATAAAAGTTTTGCAATATGTCTTAACAAACGGACGTAGGAGGCGGCATGTTACTCTATGTTGAGACATGTCCATGAGTGCATAGTAGCCCGCCAGCAGCACGTCTGTTGATTTAGGTATTCATTCGTATTGACAGTGTGCGGACTATGACATCGTGGTTACGTAGTGAGATGAGGGCAGTTTTACAGTATCACTTTACGCGTGGTTTAAGCATAGACAAGTGCTTAGAAATGACGCTTATAAGAGTCGGAAGATAATTATTTGTTTTTTATAATAGAAATAAACTAAAAGCAAAAAAAAAACATTTATTATCGACCGTTAACAAAAATAAAATATTAAAAATTATTTTTGTAACTCAAAATAGTAGAACATATAAAAGTATAACAAAAACTTTTCCGGTAAATAATACACCTAATGTGATAAACTCTAATCAAAAATAAGAAACAACTTTTTTTTAGAATACAAACATGAATTAGTGGTAAATGCAGACCATTTTTAGTGCAAAAAATTATTTTTGAATAATGTCACTGCACTCTAAGCAGAATCCTAGAACATCAGGGCATGTTCTACATTCGTACATCGTTTGGGTATGGATTCCCTTCTTGCTATAAGACTGGCATCTTTTCTGGATACTTGTTTTTTTACCATCTAAGTCACGTTTTACTAACTTGTGCCCTTGAGTGCCTGCAGTATTGTACCTTGGCTCAGATAAGAGTCAGCGGCACCGGCGAACATCTCGCGTTGACTCTTATAAGAGCCAGTGGCAGCGAACGTGTTAAGGACCGGTTTTGGCGGATGAAGGGTATTGTATGTGGGGGAAATTACTTTGAACGAAGTCAATAAATAAAGTGGCAAAACTTTTACCTACCTTACCCTTGGTATTTACGAACAGACATGTCATACATGAATATAAATAATAAATGGAGGTTGGAGGTGGTACGAGGGATCTTTTAAGTTTTGCATATGGAAATAAAACAACACGGCAGGTAGTTTTAAATGACTTTACTGTTTTTGGAAGTGTTCTCCACGAAGATTAATACACATCTGCATGCGCTCGAACCAATTTTCGAAGCACTTATTACACTCGTTTGCTAGCAGATCCAAAACGGCATTTTTGAATGCGTCAACTGCTTCTTCTGGTGACTGGAACCTTTGACCACGCAGTCTGTTTTTAATTTTCGGGAAAGTAAAGAAATCGTTTGGACTGGGATCGGGACTATATGGAGGATGGTCCAATAATTCCACGTTTTCTTCCGTTAAATACTGCCTTGTTTTTTGTGCTGTGTGCGAGCTTGCATTATCTTGGTGGTGGACGATTCTTCTTTCGGGGTTGATTTTTCGAAGCTCGGTGTTGACTTTTGGCAAACAAATGGTGGTATGCCAATCCGCAGTAACAGTTCTTTGCTCATTAAGAGGAATTGTTGCAATATGACCCGCTTTTGACACAAATGTCGCGACCTTCTTTTTCGAAACACTTCGGGAACGGATGACTTTTGTTGGCTTTTCTTCACCTTGGAACACCCAAACAGCCGACTGTCGTTTATTTTCTGGTTCATAACAGTAAATCCACGATTCATCACCACTAACAATGCTGTACACATCATTTGAGTTTCCGGAATTGAACCGGTCAAGCGTTTTTTGACGCCAATTAACCCTGGCTGCTTTCTGCTCTTCAGTCAACAGGTGGGGTAACCAACGAGAAACTAATTTTCTGACTCCTAATTCTTCATGTAAATTTTTTTGAATTGAGGTCTATGAGATGTTCAAGGACGCCTCAATCTCGCGATATGTCACATGTCTATCTTCAATGATGAGTTTGCGCACAGCATCGACGTTTTCCTGGGTGACTGCCGTTTTTGGTGCACCCACCCTGGGATCGTCGCTAAGACTTACCCGTCCACGTTTGAATTCTCCATACCAACGGGAAATTGTCGACTGATATGGCGCTTCGTTGCCGAAAACAGACAGTAACTCAGCAAGGCATTCTTCATTTTTCTAATGACATGGTGACACTTAAAAATCCACTGTAGTGAGGATACTGCACGTATTGTTGTGAAACTTTGAATTTAAGTTTACTAAAGATTGAGGCTAAGATTCAGTACTGACGTTCGATCCGCGCGGCCTACTATGTTTCTATATGAAAAACTTATAAGACATCCCTCGTATTGTTGGGGTTCTGCATAGTTTAGCTATTATGCTGACATTGAAACAGTTTCGAGTTTTACCAGTTTTGTGATAGGGGACTTAACCTCAATGTTAAAGCCTGTTTACGGATATCAAATGTTCAATGAGAATTTCTAGTTTAGATAACAATGTTTAGTCAATTTACTTACGCTTCAACAGTCTCAGTTGGGAAGTCGTCCCAGCTCTTCGTAGTGGTCGGTTCCACGTCAAAATTCAGCAGAGAAACTGGCCTGCTTGTCGTTTGCTGATCCATGTCCAAATCTCTGAACATCTGCGGCGCCACTAATCTTCCATCCAACACATTTTCTATTGTTAGTTCGACAGAACGCGTCACACGCAAATCATCGACTATGACAGATAGAGGGATGTGGGGAAACAGAGTCTGGACCTGTAAAAAAAATACTGTTAGTTTATCATATATGCTACACGTCAGGAAGATTGATAGTCTAAGTTAGAAAGGACAAACGCTGCCATCGGTGAAATTGAATCAGTGTATTTCTTGATTAAATATAGGGATTAGAGACCATTCTTGCACAAATTGTGTAATTTCTCTCTAGTTTGAGAAATTGTTTACAAGAAATCGACTATATTCATAAGGTCCTTTACTTCAAAAACGACATCTGACTGATCGATAAGTCAAATCTGAGCTTAGAAAAAAATCGACAACATGTAATGTTTGTATTGTTTACCTGTCTAGCCATAGCGTCCAGCTGTGAATTTGATGCAGCAATATAATTCTGCCGTATTGGTTGAACATGGCTGACCTCAACAGAAAAGCTTGGGAGCCAAGATACATATCTTGAACCTGCAACGTGATTCTTATTAGGATGAAAAACAGTTATATTTTGACAAAAAAAAGAACCGCTTTCACGCATACTCAAAACATTATGCTGTTACGTGTTTTTCTTGAAATTATACTATTCCAGTCACTGGAACCAGGAAAGATACCATTATTTTAAACTTCACTTGTTTCAGTAATAGTTTGCGGGTATTTTAGTACTAGATCTTCAAGTTATACACTATTTTCCGACTGATATTGGCCATATACCCTGAGGCACTGTATAATAATATTGAAAGACGAACCATCAAAGTGGAAGAAATGGTTGAACGGCCTTCTTGTTGTCTCTTGAGGATCCGCTTGTAACTCTGGAGGTTCCATTCTGGCAGCTGATGGATTATGAATGTTCAACGCCATCCTGCATGTTGGACAAGACGTATCTTGCTCCAGCCATGACAATAAGCAAGTGCTGTGAACAAAATATTCCCAGATGAACAGGTGTATATCAAGGCATACAAAAAACTTATAGCGAGCCCACACTAAAAAAAGTGAGCGAAGACTTTTAAAAATACCTGGGATGCTACAAAACTACGATCAAAATAGCCAGTTTCTTCGTGTTTAATATAGAATAATAAACATGTTGTGCATTCATTGAGAGTGCATTACAGCAATTTTCACTGAGTTAGTTTGACTTACTTGTGGAAAAGATGAGAGCATGGTAACTTCCTCGCAGATTCCATCTTCTCCCAGCAGATGGCGCAGTTGTCGGAATTCTCTCTGAGTTCCTCTTCGTCGGCCATTGGATAATTTTGCTCTAGGTGGTCGCGAACCCATAAGTAATTGCGATGTTTCTTGTATCTAGGTAAAGATAAAACCATGAATCAAATAATTGTTTGTATGAATGTGCTCTTATTTGTAACAGATAACAAGCAAGTAGTGGTTATGCAAGCTTGGCACGCTACAATAGCAAGTATTTTGCACAGTTTTCTGAAAAATGCCTTGTTACGGACTCGTAGTCTCGGCATATTCTGATAAGATACATTTAAAATCTATTGTATACAAGTATCTAATTGGACTATAGTTCCAATAAGATAATTTAAAAATTATATATCTCAGCATCACTTGACCTCACGATTAAGATGATGTGTAACACCGTCTGTCTTTGCTGCAGGGCCTTTATTGAAAGCTCATATTAGCGGCCTCAAACGCTCGATCGCTGCTTCCAATTCACCTGTTGCTGCATGCCAAGGTATTTTATATGGCATAAATGAGATTTGAATAGCGCATAGAAATCGTTTTTTAGTTTTAACACATTGAACGCCAGCGTAAGAATCTCAAGGATGTAAGTACAGTAATATCCGCTTATAACAAACCCATTTATTGCGAACTTCCGTTTATAATGAACTAATTTATAAGGTACCGACTGAAATGATATTAAATGTGTGCTATTTTTCTCGCATATAACGATCCCGTTTATAACGAACCTCCTGATAAAATGAACCTAAATGTTTGATGTATTCGTGAAAGTTTTCGGTTATAACGAGCGTAAAATTGGATTTTACCACAATCAGGTAACTGAAATCTTCCGACCGCGTGGTGGGGTATGAGCAATCGTCAGCGTCTGCCGCTAGTCCGCCACCGCCATTTAGTCTGATACCTTCTTTATTCGTTGTATTCTGTGTCATGCACTCTTGAAATCATGGGTGACGCAATTTCTAAGAAAACACGTAAAGCCCTTACTTTACACGTAAAGCTCTTACTTTAAATAGTAAATACGATCTCGTCAGAAGATTGCGAGGAGGTGTGAAGCAAAGTGAAGTTTGTTCTGAAATAGGATTAAGTAAATCAACGGTGAGTACTGCATCATACTAATCATACATAAATAAGCACTCTGAGATATAAATTTGATTTACAATTTTTCATTTCAATTACAGGTTGGTACAATTTGGAAAAATAAAGACAAAATACTGGAAATGTTTGAGAAAGGTCAAAACATAAATGTGAAGAAAATTAAAAAGCCCACGAATTATAAAGTTGATCAGGGACTTCTGAAATGGTTTTCTCAACAGAGAAATAAAAAAGTAACCATAAGTGGTGCTATACTGCAATCGAAGGCTGAATACCTTGGGTAGAAGTTATTGAAATATGAAGAACTGAGCGAAGAACCTAAATTTAGTAGAAGCTGGGTTGAAAGATTCAAAAGACGACATAACATTACCAGTTGCAAAATTGTTGGAGAGTCTGCTGCAGTTGATATTGACTGTGTGGATAACTGGTTGCGGAACAAGTGGAAAATCATTAGAAGGAACTTCAAAGACGAGGTCATATTCAATGCAGATGAAACTGGGTTATTCTATAAGCTTACACCTGACAGGATCTTAAGATTCAAAGGGACAGAAAAAAGAAAGCTATTGGTAATTGGAAGATCGAAAATCCCTCGATGTTTTAAAAACGTTTCACAGTTGCCAGTTAATTACAAATCCAATAAAAGAGCATGAATGACCTCAGAGATTTTTGATGCTGAGCTGCGTAATGAGATGTTGAGTTACGCCGCGAAAAACGAAAAATTATATTATTAGTGGACAATTGTCCAGCTCAACCAGATGTTAAAAATTTGGACTGTATTAACCTAGTGTTCATACCCCCAAACACGAGTTCTAAACTACAGCCTATGGATCAGGGTGTAATCCACAGTTTAAAAAGCCATTATCGTCAAGTTCTTCTCTCGAGAATGGTAGATTTTATTGATAGTGGCGGGGAAAATGTTACAATCAATCTTTTGGATGGCAATAAACATTCATATGGCATGGCAGAAGGTATCCAAAGAAAAAAATTTTAATTGTTTTACGCATGGGGGTTTCTTGAAGGTTGAGGATGATTTTAATCCCGTCGATGACCTGCCATTAGTTGAGTGGATGAAGAAAATTTAACAGGAAGACGATCTTCGAGACAATATTAGAGCCAATCTTCCTTATAGTGAAAACGATTTCAATGAGTTTGTGCATATTGATGACCAAGTTGTGACTGTCGAATACCTGGTTGATGATGCCATTGTAGCTGCTATACCTTCGGCAGTTGATACTGATGATGACCAAGAAAAGGAAAATAAATATGAAGAATCTGTCGGTATGGAACTGATACCAACTCCAACCACAACAGAAGCACTTCGACATATTGACAGCATTCGTCATTTCCTTCAGTCACTCCGCAGCGCGTGCTAGATCGACTAGCTGATGTGGAATTACATATTAATCATACTCATTTCACAAAAATAAACCAAACTAAAATAAATTATATATTTTTTTAAGAAAGATTTTCAACAACTTTTATTAATGTGGATTATAGATATTATTATATACTATTCAAAAAGTTTATATACCCCTGGTTGAATAATAAACTAATGAAAAATATTTTCTGGTATTAGCATTATTTATTATTTATAGCGAACCAGTTTCGCCGGTCCATGAGGTTCGTTATAAGCGGACATTACTGTATTTTATTTATTTCGATGTCTTCTGCATTAAGCTCACCTAAATAATTTAACACCGGACTATTATTGAAGTAAGAGTTCATTGTGCATCGTACCCGCGCATCATGTCACCTGACGCCCTTTCAACCTCAGACACTCTTGGTCAGTCTCTTACGTTACATGAATCTATTGATATTGGTTGTGCGATTATACTGCTTTGTTTGTCGCCATGTCAATCAGTAAACCCGACGATTGCGAATTGTGCTCAGTAATTCGGTTTTAAAAAACGATGGTAGTAAATTAAGTACTCTTCAGATCATACTCTACTTGTCAATTCACAAAAATCTAATGTTATTATTTTGCACCCAAAGAAAAAAATACAACGTAACACAGCTCTTGAACATTCAGATAAATAACCAAATCTTGAAATTTTATGATTCTGGAAAAATGCATGGTGTTGTTTTTGTTACAAAATACATAATTAATCTAAAAAGCAAACAGGTATTTACTAAATTTTAAGTTGCGTAAAAATCTATGTGAAGAATTGGTCATTGCTCAACATCGCACCCTATACGGTCATAAAATGTTGAAAAATGCAAACAAATTTCAGGGCGATATTTTTCATATATCCCATAATTTCCTGAAACAAACCATAAAAAATGTTACCTAACATTTTATATACGGTACTTCTGACTGTATTGTACTTTATTCTTAATGCTTTGAAAGTGTTAAATTTAATGTATGTGGATATTAATTTTAAACTTATTTTATTAATATTTAGTAAATTCAGTTTAATTATTGATCAAAATTGAATATATTGGGCTTGACCCGTGAATGTATGAATAATGCAATATCGTATGTTTAGACAATTCCATAAAAACGTTATTCAAAACAGATGTATACGCTTCATCTTTGGATCACGTAAATTTGATCAGCGAAATATCCGTCTTAAACTAGTTAAAAATTAATGACCATGTCAAGTATCACTGATTAGTTTTGTTCACAAATTACTGCTCGCGCCAAAATGTCACTTAGTATATATTAGTTTGTGATACAATTTACATTCACAAATAAAGTTTCTCTGGCTCTGTTACAAAACGGTTCCTACATAAAAATGACCCTCGTATGTAGTGTCAGTCCAGATGATTGACACGGCACCATTGGAATAGCTCAATGTTAGTCACCAGTGACTGATACGGCGGCCAATATGTTAGTTATCGTTGTTTTTTCTGAAATACATAACAGAAGCAAAAACCTTTTATTTCTTTAAAATGAGCTTACCTCCTCTGTATTTCGTGGAACAGGTACCTCAACTGCATGCAGATAACCAGACTAGCCATGGAGAGGAATATGTTACTCCACAAGAGCATATGCAGATGGTGGATAAGATCGATGAACAGAGCTGTCATTTCGAATGTCAGCTCGATGTAGTACGAGATAGGCCCACGTTTCTCCCATGCTTTTGTCTCGTCAGCCGAACCGACGGAAGTTACGCCTTCATTGCGCATGTCGTACAGATGGAGGGCATACCTGCAACAAAATGAAAAATTTTTTTTCCAAATTGTAGAATGGTTGGTTCATAGTTTCTGAAATATATAATTGACAACCTTCAAAATGTCAAAGGTATTAAGTGAAATTTGTAGCACTCTGTTTCATGCAACAATTTGTGTAACATTTGTTATTCTTCATAAATCGTAGAAATACTAATAAAACAAAAGTAAAGAATAGCTTTACATATAGTGCTTTTCAAAAACTATTTTATCGAATTTTTTGAACAAGTTAGCAAGCCAAAGCTTGGCAACTTGGAGTGATCAAATTTATACATGGATACTATTGTGACACCATGTATAGTGTGGTCGTAAGTTTTGGTATTTTTGTAGGTCAGGTAGCAGGTTTAGGGCGATGCTTATTTATAAGAAAACAAAAGGTCACTCGTTATTATAGGAGCATGACGCCTAAATACCAGGAGAAACCACGGCAATGCTGTTCGTGCTTTAAAAATGACCCCGAAACTTGACGGCTGGAATACCAGTGATGCTTTGACAGAGTTGCCACGTTGGGGGAATTTCTCCCAAATTTGGGCTATGATTTGTGGATAGCTATTTGAACCAAACATCTCTCCTTTATTACTTAACTTTTGATTGTATTTTTTTTAAGTGGCAATTCTAACGGACTTTTGTGATTGTCCTGAGGAAATTCTGTCCACCTCATCTGGCAACGCTGGGCTTTGACAGATCCGCCATTTGAACACCAACAAACGAATTGCCCATGGGATTGTCATTTAGGTCATTGTAAATTAACTCAACTATCTTTGCTTATTTCTTGTGAATCCTTAGTGTAAATAGTCGAAAGTCTGTTGGAAATTGTTACTATTATTTAGCTATTTTCGAAAAGAACAGTTGAAAAGCATCTCTTGCGCGGTGATGAATTGTTTAGCGAAAGGGAACAGTATCATGTTCATTGTTTATGATTCTCGTATTCTTCACAATGCTGGTGAAAAACTCAATCTTTTGTCCAAAGGTCCACCAGATTATTGGATTAAGTCATTGGTAGAAGAATAACCAGAATATGCACGAATTTGTCCAAGGCGTTTAAGAAAAGTTAACGTTTTGACTAACAAAATTGGTGAAACCAAACGTGTAGGATTACCCGCGAAAGGTGTAATTTTTAACTATGAAAAGAGAAGTTATTTGTAAAACCGGTAAGTTTGCGCTTAGCTCTTAGGGCCTACGAGGGAGATTTCACGATTTACTTCAGTATAAAACAGTTGTCAGTAACACCTTGATCATTGCGCCTTCAGTCAGGCGTCAAGTTTTCGGGTCGTTTTTTTATTCATTTTGGTTTATAGTCTTTATATATAGGAGATTAAATATAATAACAAAGTACCACGTTTTATTAAATTGTAATACCTATTGACCAATTCCCAACTACAGGTTACTTCGAATTTGTCTAATTCGCCGGAAGCGAAGTGCATAGGGCATAAGGGTGTCTATATGGTGAAATCTGTGTCATTTTGGAACAACTCAGGCCTGGCAATGATGCAAATATTTCGCTGTCATCATTTGTCAAATTAAAAGAGAATTGCCTGTTTGAAATTGAAATTGTCCCTAACCTAAGATCGACTGAATATCTGTAATGCCCAGTTGCATCGCCTTTCTCAAATCTAACACTTAGCAAAGGCGATCCGAATGTTGAGGCCAACCTCAAATTGGATTTTTGTAGCAGCACTCCGATTTAGCTACATCTGACAACAGTGCATTTGCTGTAACTTCTTAGGAAATCACGTCTGCAGCTACAAATCAGTTGGTTGAATTGGCTTTATGTTTTCTTTTACCCCAAATTTATATGAGTGATATAATCACGTGTATTTCAATTTAAGCTGACTGAAAGTATCTTATTTCATGTATTATTATTATATTTGTTGCTGTAAATGCAATATCTATCATATGGTACCTCCTTTGGATCGTCCTCATCAGTTTGAAAAATTTCTGAAGAATTCACATCCTTAAAAGATATTCGAGAAATTCAGTGAAATGCATCACGCCTCATCGCCAAACTTGGTTATTATTTCTGATGAGTAGCTATATTATCATCAATCGAGCTTTTTTAACTTAACTTAACTTAAATGCCAAACTGGCGAGATGATATTCTAGGTTAGAAAATCCACGTTAAGAAGAAAAATTGTCGACTTAGCTCAATTATCTGTTTAAGTTCCGCTCAAGTTTTAAGTGTATGTGGTGCAACAAAAACATGAAAGTAAAGGGTCAGCTTAGCATCAGCAATGATATCTGTTTTTTAAGTGGTCTAGAATCTCAAAACGCCTAAGAACATCACCGCAAAATTAAAAACTTCCTACAAGCATTGGTGATACATCTGATGCGTATCCTGTGATTTTAATGCTAATAATCATCGGCGATTGTCTGGTCGACTCAAGCCACATATACTTTACAAGTATTGGTGTTGCATTCTAAATTCTGATATAGGTGAAATATTGATAGTTGTGATCTACTCATTAAATTGCTAAATAAACGCATCACCACAAACTAATATTCTAAAAAAACCACAACTCACCTTAATATCACGTGCATCGTTCTAATAGAAAGGAGAATGACATCTGCCGACATAAAAGCAAATGTGTTGAATCCCCCGAAGAAACCTACGAAAACTGATACTAACAGCATGAATCCGGATATGGCAAAGATGACGGCCAGGAGAACCATCAGCTTGAAATGGCTCCAAAATGGCGTTCTTGGCGAAAACGATAACTGAAAGAGGAAAAGATATTTTTTAGAACAAATCTAACTCAATTCATGTCAAAGCAAGCGTAATATGAGAGTTTCGCCAACCTTTACACTTTGCCATTTACAATTTTTTACCTCTCCAAAACTGAACCACCACAAAGATGTTGTGCTAAATTTCATCACATAATGAGACATTTTAGCTGCTCACCATTGATTTTTACCTCACAGAAGTATACGAGCTCTGTAAATTAAGTGATGGCAACGTAGCGTTTGATCTTGCAACACTGGAGGCGCCGGGATTGGAGGGGAGACAGGGAACATGTGATCCGCGTTCAGTATAAGTTTGAACTCGCTCGAATATTTTGGTTGTCCGTAGCTATTTTAAACTTTTGTTAAACAAGCCTACGGAGATAGGGTTTTGTCAAGAAACTTGATTTTTCGGTGGTTTGAGGCATTTTCAGAAGGGAGAGGGCCGAATAAATAAGGACTACGAAATGGAAGGCCTTCATCTTCAAGAACCGATGAAAATATCGACAGAATTCGGTATCTTGTGGGTTCTGATCGTGGGCTGACAGGCCCAATGATCGGGAAAGAGTTAAAATTGAACAACAATTGGGTGTCACATCTCTATAATGCTCCTTGTCACACAGCAATGTCAATCAAGGAGTCTTTGCCCCAGCCTCTTAATTCACCTGACTTGATTCCTTGTGACTTTTTTCTCTTCCCGAAGTGGAAAGATCACCTTAAGGGAGCTCAGTTCGGTACAGTCGAAAACATTCAAACAACTGTAACTGAGCAGCTGAAGGCTATTCCAGTATCCGAGTTCCAGCACTGCTATGAGGAGTGGAAGCACCCTCTCCAGCGCTGAATGGCTTCAGAAGGAAGTTATTTCGAGGGTGACAATATAAAATTGTAATTATATTTCGATAAAAATCAATTGCTTTACAGACCTGGTACAGTCCCTGGCCATATTAGATGCATACATAATATTTATAAAGAAAATATGTATTTATTAAATTTAAAGTATATTGAAATTTACAGATTCAAATATTAATATTCTACACGGCGTGCTGTCAATACAAGACTGCGCCGTATCCTGCATTTGAGGATCGGCGAAGATAATAGGTAGCGTATCACCTTTGGGTTTATTTTCAGCACAATAAAATATTTTTTAACCGTTTAGCATATAATTTTGATGAGAAGGAAAGTACCGAGTCAAACTACTTGATTCCATTTTTGACATTTCTTGCATTTGCCTACAAAGTAAGTGAATAAAGCCAAAGTAACCGCATAGTATATAACGAGTTATTAAATTGAATCTATTAGTTTTTTAATTGAGCTATCAATCGCGATTTGTAAACAATATGTCATAATAGAATTATATGCACTATGATTAAAAAGCAATACCAATCAACTTAACCTTAATCACGTGAGGTGAGCGTTACGCTATTTTTACCAGGAAAGGAATAAGTTGGTCCGTGGACTAAACAAGATGGTATTGATGAATAATCAATGTTGTAACTTGTAACATTGACTGACGTTGAGAAACCGAAGCGTCATCTTGAGAATTTGTAGCAGCTGTTTCTCTATTTACTATACAGGGTTTCCCAGAAGTCGACATCAAGCCGGAAACGGGGGATAGGTCAAGTCATAATAGTTGCTTTAAGAAAATCGGAAAAATTCGAAAAGTTTACACCATGTGATGATCTTTTAGTTCCCATTATTACAAATTTCTTTTTGTGACGGACACCGCGATTCTACGTAGTGGCAGCAAGACAGACAGTAACGCCACTTTTATTAATTCATGATTGTGTAGTGCCTCCATGTGGTGTACACCGAACAGGAATACGTCAACATGCACCTCATTTATGGGAAATGTAGATGCAATAATAATGCTGCAGCTAAGCTTTACCGTGATAGGTACCTAAATGCTGCTCGTCACAGAGTTTTTGTGAATGTCCACCGTTTACTCTCAGAGGGACGATTCCCAAATCAAGCACATGGTGAAGGTAGAAGTACGTCAAATAGATGTAAGCACGGGAGTGCCCAAAAGTACAGACTGATAACTATAACTTTCCGGCTTGACGATGACTTCTGGGACACCCTGTATATACTTTGAGAAAGTTAGTGTCTCATAGATGACGTTGTATTCACTTATAGGCTTGTATCTCATTTTATCTTGGATAATTTTTTGGAAGCGGGAATACAGCATTGGTTAACTATCTTCAGGTAGAATATGTTAATCGATGGTTGTAATTTATGAAATTTATGACAATTACATTACAATCAACACGTTTATTGTAATTTTATTTTTTATATTCCGTACAACCGCGACTATAGTGATAAACAATGGACACGTTCACACGTGAATCTAACCTAAACAAATCAAAGATTCTGAGTTGTACTTTACAAAAGATTGTTCAGCAAAATATACTCTGCCTTAGTCCGAAATTTCAGCACATAACATACCTTATCCAGTGGTTGAACAATTCCAAAAAAGTACAAATCGCAGTACATTTGGTTATTTTTATATATAAAAAAGGATCACTTTTTAAGTAACAGCCGTTTTGTAATGAAGTCTGGGAAATTTTATTTATGAATGTAAATTGTAACGCAAACTGAAATATATTTTTTCCATTTTTCTTGGCAAGCCTCACTGGTGGTATCGTAATCGTGAAAAATTTCTAAAATGAGATTATGTTTTTTGGATCTTATCTGACGTGTGCATTACGAAAAACCATGTCACTCGTTTCCGTCTGTCAGTCGGTCTGTTATTCTTGGCCACTCTATACCTTGGAAAATAGTGCTCGGATTTGAATAAAATTTTTACACAAGGTTACTACCACTACCTACTATACCAAGGACGAAATAGCTTTTTTGAAAATTGGTCCAGCGGCGGCGGAAAAAAACGTCAAAACCGTTTTTTGACGGTACGGTGGATCGCATTTTTTTGATATCAGTATATTAATTACACTTCCACCCCCGGTAATTCTACGCACCTATTAGACATTCTTCACACGTTATAGGTTTCCCCGTACATTTGCCCTTAAAACTTTTTTTCCGCACTTGCGGTGCGCCACGGGGCTGCAAATATTGCACCTTTGGTAGTTGATTTGAGCGACCCGGTCATCGCATTATATAGCATCGCTTCACTTCGCATCCATTCACATCGCTCTGCAACGCATCATTCCACATCGTATCGCTTCGCTCAGCATCGTATCGTATCACTTCGCTTCGCTCCGCATCCCTTCGCAACGATTTTCTGTTTTACTTTATTGCGCATTTTCAATTTATTAAGTAGAATTTTGTACTGCAATCTAATTTGAGTACCACGAGAAATTAACGAACATTTCTACATTTTATTGATGTTTACTCAACTTGAAAACAGATGTAACGGCCAGGATCGTTTTCTCATTTTGTCACTCGCAACAGAAAGAGAACCAATGGAAGTTGGTTAATTTTTTTTTAATATCTTCACTTAATTAATAACCGATATATCATCATTTTCAATTTTCTGGAATATCAATTTAGTCGCAGTTTATAATTAATGCGATTAAATATTATTATTTATATTTGATTTTAACGGTTATGTTATTTACAACGTAATATACTACGATAGCGATTGGTCGAATTTGCTACCTAGTCTAAAATTTTGCGCCTGGGGTCAAATGAAAAAATAGAAATAAGAGTAGATGAACCATATCATTTATGAGTTTCTTGATTTAGTCCCGGAATTCGGAGCCCATCTTTCACAAATCTATAATTTTTCTCTAGTTTGAGAGATATTTACAAAAAAATGATATTATAAGATACCTGTACCAAATAAGCCCAAGCAGCTTACAAGGCCATACGTCGATTTTACAGAAACCATTAACATTTAAAATTGAAGATTTCTGCAGTTCTACAAATTTATCGAAAGCAGGTAGCAGCCATAAATTCAGCAGCTGTGTAGCGGCGCTAGATGGCGCAGTAGGACAGCGTCGGTTTTCCACATGTCCATGTCCATTATAAAATGTCTACCTTAAATTTGTCTCCGTTTTTGCATGTCGTCGGCTTCTTTTTGCGGAATCTCTTGATTGTTTCAATGTTTTCAGCTTTGTTAATTGTATATTTAATGTTAGATGTGCATAATAATAAAGCCATGCTAAATGGTTCCCAGAAGAATAAAAACTGGGTCGGTTTCATATGCGATAAGGATGAAATACGTGACATGCGTCTGTGTGTACCTAATATGCTTAAGATATGTCCATGAGGAATGTGTAGGCTTGTGTTGAGGCTATAGGGTATCATTTGTTTGTCATCAATGCGATATCAAAAACAAGTTGATTTTTTTACTTGAAATCTATCTGGGCTTAAGAATTATTTATTGTTGTTAATTAGAAATATAACTTCGTTTATTCAACAGTCTTGTTTAATATCTTGAGCGTGGCTTTATTACAAACCAGATCATGGCCTTATTTGGATACCTGGGTTCCTAATAAGGGCAACGGTAGTGTTTCAAAAAATATATATTTTTTATATGAAAAGAATAGTTCTCGGAGCCCTCCGATACAGCTTATTGACTGAACATACCTATAATAATACCTTTAAAATATTATGATCGTAACGCAAATATTTATGAAGTTACAGCTATCCAAACGATAACGTGGCCTTATTTGGTTCAGATACTGACGTAGCTCAACACTTAAGTGAATTTTATAAACCCAACATAAACTATTTTTCACGATACTTCACCAGAGCAACAAATAACAGCTGTGATTGTCAAGTGACATTCAAAGCACACCATATCGTCAAGTAGTAGAAAGATTAGCTACATAAACAATTGGAAGTGATACATAACACTAATAATGAATTCAAACCAGTGCACCATACACTATTGTGTTTGCAAGTTAAGGATCGTAACGTCAGTCGATCCTGCAATTATTGTACGACGCCTTTATGGCCTCCTTGATTTTCATAGTTTTTTACTGTTCAGAGTCAGCGCTCTATTTTGAGGTTATGTTCCAAATATCTATTTGCATCGAATTGTTCATGCTTTTGGCTTATATCATCTGTTATATCGGCCTGAAATGTCTTACAATTCAAAAAGAAAACATAGCCTCACAATAAAAAAACGCTGACGCGGACTCAGTACAGTAGAAATCTGGAAATACCCCAGCCTTTCTGAAGTGGAGGAGAAAAATATTCTGAAAATCAAGGCGTTTAGGCGTCCTACAATTGTAGGAACTACTGACGATACGGCCCTAAGATAATTTCTCAGTTTTCAGTCATGCAAATTTAAGAACACGCTCCAAAATTATTTAACTGGGATACTTCCGGGGTAGGCTTTTGTCTGATATCATAAAAATGATAGTCGGCATTTACAGACGTTAATGCAAATAGACACCATGGCAATGGATTATTTTTCATTTTATATATAAAAATCATGACTAGGTATTTAATGATTTTTTTTATTTAGGTATCGTTCTCATACTCTTTATTTTGTAAAATCTTTAATCTTTGGAAAATGGAATCGTTGGCCAGATTGACCTATACAAAAAATTTGTTTTACAGTTTATCTCTCGGAAACTACGTGACAGGTAGCCTACTTTACTACTAACTCTACTGATAATGTTTTCATAAAGTAGTTCAAAATTCAACCTACTGGCAATAATTATCAAGGTATTTAAAACATTCTACAAAACCAATATTTCTGTCACTAATATTTATGTATACATTCATGATATCATTTTTTCTAATAATCAGCTTTTTTTTCTTGTCGGTGTTGAATTTTAATTTGTCAGTATTAAAAGTTTTAAATCACTATTAATGGGAGAGATATCTGATTGAAAATTTTGAATATTTACATAAATTAAAGTATCACCATCAAAAATTTGGATTTTGCAATTTTTTGTATACTCGGTATATATGTCGGCGTCAAAATCTGTCATTTCCTGAAATGGCTAGTTAGTCCCCGTATTGCCGGCACACACCGTAACAATTTGATTATTACAACGTTTGACTAAGCATTTCAGTCATTCCCTGTAATGACTGAACATTTTCAGTCAAACACCGTAACAAACACATTAGCTTCGTTACTGCATTCGCCTATTTTAGTCAAACGCTATAATCAATACAGTGTTGCTCCAATGAAGTACATAACATAACAAGGTACTCTACTTTATCAATAATATTAAAAGAAAAATAATCAAGCATGAATTAATCTAAAAGGAAAGAAGAATAGATTAAGACGTTGTCTTTGTTATTACATTACTGTGGACATTAGTGATTAATGTATTAAATCAACAAGAAATATCCTGAAACTATAGAAATATAAAACAATAAATACACATTAAAAAAATGCAGAACTGCGAGTAGTTTCAAACGAGTAAAGGTACATAGAATTATCTTATAAACATATTATATTATTTCATTATTTGTTAGCGCATGTTAGACTTCCATGGCACCTTGAATTACAAAGGAGTTTTTGTTTAAACAAACACTGCTTTTTCGCTGGTTTACAGGAACACTTAAAATGTCTTTGGTCTCCCTCTAACGAAAGTGACTGCACACCTGCACGTACTGATACAACTTTTTCAGGAATAGATTTTATTTGTAAGAAGTTTATAAGAGTTGATATATGATGGCGAAAAGTGCTTCGAGGACGTGCATTGTTGATATAAATAACTTCAATGTGGATGAATAATATTTTTTTTTAATCAAGTATTTATATACGAAATCCGGCAACGATGGACGCTGCTGTTGAGCAAGACTATGTATGTTATAATTTAGGTTAGGTTCACAAAATTATAAAAATTAACTTACCCTCTCTAACTCATTATATTCAATGTTTTTTTCTTATTCACACTGTCATAGTATTCACTTAGTTTCTTGTTAATGTTATGGTGTTTGACTGAAATTGTTCATTTGACTGAAATTGTTCAGTCATTACAGGGAATGACTGAAATGCTTAGTCAAACGTTGTAATAATCAAACTGTTACGGTGTTTGCCGGCAATACGGGGATTGACTAGGCATTTCAGGGAATGAGAGATTTCAGCATTTGACGCCGACATATACAGGATAAAAAGAAGTAGTGACACACAACTCGGATGCCGTATGTGTAGCCAAAGTCGTATTAATTGTATTGATTCATACTTTCTAACCACCATTTAATCTGATTTACTATATTTCTCGGTGTATACTTGGATATTTTATTGTCAAATTCCAGTCAGTGAAAGTATATATCTGTACCCCAGAGCCAGACTAGGCTGAGCCCATTTTTGTCAAAAACCAGTTCAATATATTAAGCTTATGATAATATTGTGAATTTTAATTTGCTACTTGCAGCGTCCATCTATCTGTAATACGGAAGTTACGACTTTTTAACTCATGTCAAGTCGCACGCAATACAAGAAAAATATTTTAAATTCAATTATCTCAAAACTACTTTTTTGGAGTTACCCTAGTCTGGCTCTGAGGTACAGATAAATATGTGAAAATAAATTTTCATCAGTCTTTGATATTAAATAGTTCTGTCACTTACTGACGATTAGCTGTTTACCTCAATACACGTCAACACGTGATGAAATATTGTGAAAAATATATAAAGTGTAAAAGCTTATGAGTCAAAACTATGAATGACTTACATATTCAAACCTATCCTTGCTCAGCTGCGACAGCAGATTCAAAAAGCCTAGCAACGAGAACCAAGAGCACCACAACAGCACCTCATCGATATACTGGACGTTGATGATACCGAAGACAAAGATGAATTTATAAAATACGAAATTCCAGAATTTATCACGCAATTGTTGCTGTTCCGAGACTCGAAGCTCGCCAAACACCAATTTCTGGACGGCTCTGCCGAGCAGGATCAACCAGCAGAACGCCATGTTGATCATCGTCTGAAAAGAAAGAACAAGTATAATTAAAAAACGATTTTCTTGTATCATGTTCAGAGCACCCCCGATTGAGTTACTTTTCAGATATAAAAATAATCAGAATCGGTTTGAAAACCGTGTCGTGGGGCCAAGTTTAATGGAGAAAATGAGTCGCTTGGGACCACACCTGTGGGTACAAGCATCAAATTGACGTCAGATCGGAATCTGCACACGAACAAAATTAAATATTTAGGAGCTATTACAGACCAAAGGTTAAGTTTCACTAAGTAAAAAAGTGGGATTTGATTCAAATTTAGTTGGAGGTTTAAGACTGGTTTACCACTAGAAATAAAATTAGCACAAAATGTTAAAATATTCTAGAACAAATTAAGGACTTCATATTTCAGAAAAAATGTAATTAGTAGATTTAAGCTAAATAAACGCATAATCTATTATAGTTTACCCAGCAAACAAGTAATTTGGAATTTACATGAGATTTGGAATCTGAGCAACCTACAGTTTATCCAAGAAACTAGTTTTTGTCCTGGTCAGAGATACAGGGTGTCCCAGCCGTGCGAGGACGTATTATTTATTGCTCCTAAACTGAGAGTCCTCAAACAAAACTATGTATGGATTATTATACAAAGATATGGCATCTGGAGGCATATTTCTAAAATACAATTATACAGGTTGTCCCAACTTTGACCCCCAGATATCAGTTGTTTTTTCTCAAATGGTATGCCCTATTTTATATTACACATTCGGATAGGCCGTTTCAAAAGAACAAGGTTGATATATATATATATATATATATATATAATCTCGCCTCCTGTAAGAATATTACAAATAAACGTCGTTAATTATTATTATTATTATTATATAACATACTTATGGGTTTTGGTTAGTAGCTGTTAAATGAATAAGTATTTTATATAAAAAATCACAGTATGACAGCCTGCATATCAGATATCTTGACATCTGGAGTCGAGAATTTTGTGTCAAGCATTTTTTTCTTTACCGAATTCATCCATCTTAAATCATTTGATTTAGAAATAACAATTTAAAAAATTTTATTTGAGGACTGAAGAATACAAAGGTTTACAAATGTGACATTTACGGAGTCTAACCGGGTATTGAACAACAGGATATGGCCGCGAGGCCTATTTATACATTCGGAAAGCTGACTAAGAATTAGTAGAAAACAGCAAAGGCACTATTCTAGCAACGGATTAGCGAGAAGTTGTTATCATATGCTGACACAGCGTCTGGTGCAACATTGTATAATAACTGCGTAGTTACTATGGCCATATAACATCCATTTTTCGAGTTTTTTGAGTGATCAATGCGGATTGGTCAAAATGCAAAATGTACTTTTTCGCAAAAGAAAAAAATTAAATAAGTATCAAAAAATTGGATATTTCTCTACTTAAACAAGTCACAACATCCATGGAAACAAAAAAAAACAAGGAAAGGATTATTGACAGTCTGTCTATAATATCAGGCTTTTATCAAGAAACCAAGTAATTCAATGCTTCTGTGTTGTAATTCATTATTGCAGATTGATATTATAATACAAAATAATTTTTTTGAGATATCTGAAGATCACGCCTATAAGAAAACAACTAAAATTTAAACTATTTGTACTACTACAGAAAATGTTCAAAAATGTTGATGTTGAACACACAATCGAAGAGTTCGAATGAGAATCAGATAATACAAGAAAATTAGGTGATGAGACTGGCAACGTAGCGATCGATCTGGCAACACCGAAGGTGCGAGCTTGGAGGGGTGACAAGGGAACATGTGGTCTGCCTTCAGTACAAGTTTGAACTCGCTCGAGTCATTTGGATGTCCGTAGCGATTTTTCCCCATTGTGTTCTGTATCAGACTTGGGCAGAGTGCAACAGAAACTCTTGCTAAACTTCAGCAGGCCTACGGAGATAGTGTTTTGTCAAGAGCCCAGTTTTTTCGGTCGTTAAAGGCATTTTCAGAAGGGAAAGAGCCGATTGAAGATGAACTCGAAGCGGAAGGCCTTGATCTTCAAGAACTGATGAAAATATCGAGAGAATCCGCGATCTTGTGCGCTCGGCACGGGTATTACGTATCTTGAAAAGTGACATTTTGTCGTTTTTTTGACATTTCGTAGATTTTTTGAGAGGTAGGTTTTTATACAAGATGTTAACTTAGCACAAGCTGTTGTATACTTGTTATGAACTCGTTTTGTAGCTGTACGTGTTGCCTATATGTCAGCGAACAACGATCATAGCGAGCAAACGTGGAATGAGCTATTTGCACACTAAAAAGTACCTAATCTGCAAGATGAAATTTTGTCGTTTTTACATAATACCTCTGCCGATCGGGGAAGAGTTACATTTGACTCAAATCACCGTTCATCAGATCAAGAACAATTGGGGTATTGCATCACTATAATGCTGCTTGTCATATTGCAATGTCAATGTACGATTTTTTGGATAGTAAAAACTTTCCTGTGGCTCCTGAGTCTCTTCATTTGCCTGAATTGAGTCCTTGTGACTTTTTCCTCTTCTCGAAGTTGAAAAATCACCTCAAGGAGGTTGAGAAAATATCCAAACGGTTGTAACCGACCAGCTGAAGGCTATTCCGATATCGGTGTTCCAGCACTGCAATGAGGAGTGGAAGAACTCCAGCGCTGTGTGGCTTCAGGAGGAAGGTATTTTGAGGGTGACAATAGAAAATTTTAATTACAATCAACTCATCACTTAATTTACAGACCACGTACACACAATATGTCATAATCTATTGGTAATAACATTCCTATTAGTGAAAAATTGGAGTAGTAAGCATATACGTATATAATATATATCACAAAGTTCTGCAAGTGTCTCTACGCAAAGTTCCAGGATATCTTGCCAAGTAAACAAATGACAAACGAGCCTGCAATTCGAACAATGTGTTCTACGACTGGTTTAATCAAATGTTATTGGGAGTGTTGTTGTTTCACAGCTATGGAAAACTTCCAATAATTACTAGTCTAGGGGATATCCCTAAAAAATGGAAACCGGATTTAATGGGAAACATCTAAGGATATTTACTCAATAAATCGTTTGAAAACTATCACAGTTTAGTACTATTTCAATTTTACACAACATAGATTAAGCTTTTAGATGCTAAGAAAGTTACGATAGAGCGAAACATTTAATAAAGCAAATCGACAATACTTATTTAACAAAAGATGTAGACAACTCATTGGATTTAAAAAAAACTGATTATCCACTAAAACGACTGAAAATTTGATCAACCCGAATACATAATTTTGCACGCTAATAAAAAAACAATCTATAACAGATATCAAACAAAAAAATCACAAATAAATGTTCAACACAAGCTACAGAAGACATCACTGATAGCGAACTACAAATTAGAAGTTATATAACCTATAGATGACATTCGTAGGTGTGATGTTTACGAGGGATGCCTTTTAAGTTTTGCATATAGAAACATAGTAGGCCGCGTGGATAGAACGTCAGTACTGAATCTTAACTTCACTCTTTAGTAAACTTAAATTCAAAGTTTCACAACAATACGTGCAGTGTTCTCACTACAGTGAATTTTTAAGTGTCACCAAGTCATTAGAAAAATGGAACTCAACCGAGAACATTTTCGCGTCATAATTTATTACAACTTTCAGAGACAATTATCGCAACAAGAATGCCTTGCTGAGTTACTGTTACTGTTTTCGGCAACGAAGCGCCATATCAGTCGACAATTTCCCGTTGGTATGGAGAAATCAAACGTGGACGGGTGAGTCTTAGCGACGATCCTAGGGTGGGTGCACCAAAAACGGCCGTCACCCAGGAAAACGTCGATGCTCTGCGCAAACTCATCATCATGTGACATATCGCGAGATTGAGGCGTCTTAGAACATCTCAAAGACCTCAAATCAAAAAATTTTACATGAAGAATTAGGAGTCAGAAAATTAGTTTCTCGTTGGATACCCCACCTGTTGACTGAAGAGCAGAAAGCAGCCAGGGTTAATTGGTGTCAAAAAACGCTTGACCGTTTCAATTCCCGAAACTCAAAAAATATGTACAGCATTGTTAGTGGTGATGCATCGTGGATTTACTGTTATGAACCAGAAAATAAACGACAGTCGGCTGTTTGGGTGTTCCAAGGTGAAGAAAAGCCAACAAAAGTCATCCGTTCTCGAAGTGTTTCGAAAAAGATGGTCGCGACATTTGTGTCAAAAGCGGGTCATATTGCAACGATTCCTCTTAATGAGCAAAGAACTGTACTGCGGATTGGTATGACCACCATTTGTCTGATAAAAGTCATCACCGAGCTACGAAAAATCAACCCCTAAAGAAGAATCATCCTCCACCAAGACAATGCAAGCTCGCACACAGCCCAAAAAACAAGGCAGTATTTAACGGAAGAAAACGTGGAATTATAGGACCATCCTCCATATAGTCCCAATCTATAGTAAGTCTAACGATTTCTTTACTTTCCCGAAAATTAAAAACACACTGCGTGGTCAAAGGTTCCAGTCACCAGAAGAAGCAGTTGACGCATTCAATAATGCCGTTTTGGATCTGCCAGCAAACAAGTGGAATAAGTGCTTCGCAAATTGGTTCGAGCGCATGCAGATGTCTATTAATCTTCGTGGAGAATACTTCGAAAAACAATAGTCATTTAAAACTACCTACCGTGTTGTTTTATTTCCACATGCAAAACTTGAAAGACATCCCTCGTACCAGAAAATACAGATATTATTCGGTCGCGCTGCTCTAGACTTTATGACCTGTACTGTTTACCGTTCACCATACAGATGCATTTTTGATGTTTTTTTAAGAGAAATGTGGAAAAGTAGAATTTTCTAAACAGTATAATGCTTTCAGGTAATTTTAATTTAAATTAAATAACAGTTGTTTCCAACAAAAAATCAAACAATACAAGAATTACATCACCATCAGAGACTTTGCTAGGTCTTGTCACTGTAGATTTCAAATGTGAAGGGATTGAAGCTGTAGACACACCTAAAGTTAGA